GCTGTTTCTAGGCCGCTATAATCCTCCAGAACTGCCCCCGTTTAAGCCCACCGTGTATCAATCATGCTGTTCTAACATGTTTTAACAGTGCAGGTCTCAGGATGTTCATTTTAACCCTTTAGTTCAACCCTGCCCCTTGATTAAATCACCAATTCATGATACAGTACTGTTTTACAAACAAGCTGTTCAAATAAAACAAAGAGACTGCCCCTTATAGAGATTTGACCTCTGATTGACTAAACTACAGTTTTTCAAACTATTCAACTTTTTTACAGCATTAATATATATGAATACTTTCATTTCCATGTTCCAGACAGACCATCATTATGTGGTGGGAATTATACAGGGTCAAAAGGGATTGTCTTATGAATGAGTCATTGATTCATTCACTCAATCAATTAGTTCAAAACATGGATTAATTCAGGAGCAAAAGCAACGCCGTTGCGGAAATTGCTTATTCTCTGTACTTATTTTGAATAAGTACTTACTTTGCTACCATTTGTCATGTTGTCATTGTTATGTGACCTACCAGACTCAATTGACTGATTCACTGCCATTCACAAATCATCTCTTGAATGCGGACTACTGTGTAAGTAATTACAAACCGGGTACTTTTTGTTTTATAAATACTGTGAATTTAAACTGAAGAGGTGCTTTATTTACCCGCTTAAGTAGGACTTAAATACATCTTTATGTAATAACACTAATAGTTTTATTGTCTTTGAAATATGGTCAAAGAGTACTGCTGAATAATGACAAGCATTCATGGTAAACTAAAATATACTTTAATGTCATTTCTAATGAAGCTTGTATGTCATGTATTTAATTATATTTGTAATAAGACATTTGTAATGAAGTTGCAATTTAGTACATTTAAAATATGTAAACTTTAAATGTAATGAATAACACTCCACAGTTAAAATTATAATCAAGTAGGCTACTTTACATGTGTTTAAGTATGTTAGTCAACACATCAAAATAAGTGTACTTCTTTAAAGGACGACAAAAGATTATTAAAGCGTGATTATTTAAAATGTTCTTCAAGGTACAACTTTTATATTGAGATTTACAAAATGGTCCTTTTAAAAGTGTACTTAAGTGTGTTAAAAAAACATAGTTATGAAAGCGTTCCTTTTATCTAGGTAATATTATCTGCAAGTATAGTTTAAAAAAAAAAATGCTTTTAAGATTTGAAGTACACTACAAGTGAGCATTCAATACAATTAAGTGCACTTCTTTTTCACAAGCGGTGCCGTAGTTGATTTTTCCTTTGACTTCACACAGAAACATTTTCGTTAACAAAGCAATTCGTAATTCTAAAATGTAAGGTACTCAATGTTAACTTGTTTGTGTACCAGTGGTTGAACTTACAGCTTGTCAAATGCAATATTTTTATGGAAAACTCTTGTTTTAGTGTTGCTTACTCAGGGTCGAGAGAGAGAGAGAGAGAGAGAGACGGACTCTGGAAAAACGTCTCTGCTTTTAGAAGGCGATGGAAAGTCATATGTATCTTTATGATATTTACATCCTGGAAAAAGGTTCTGGTTACCTAAATTCGTGTTCGTGCACTTCTTCGAATAGGCTCTGCTAGTGACAGGACCTCCCCGACTCCCCTGCACCTCCGTCAGCTTGTTTTCCCAGCACAGATATAGTCCTACAGAGTGTATTTGATGAGATAATGACATTAACTGTGCTCAAAACGTGCCTGTGTGTATGAGAAGGACTCAGTTGCGTCACAAATATGAGGCAGGTTATGGGGACAGAAGCTCAGTGTTGATTTCACACATACTCAAGTCTGAAAGGCAATCCTATGTTGACTGAAAATGCAGAACTGATGTTTGGAGTCGCTAATTAGATTAGTGCCGTGTATATGTATCATGTGTAAATGTGTGTCTATGTTTGGCTGTGTTTTAGCAGTGGTTGTTGGGGGATAGTACTGTACTTCAGGTGAACTGAGCGTGAGTGAGTGAACTCAGGGACTCAATGTGTGTGTAAGGCCTACAATGCTTGTCAATCATTTGGTGTCACAAAGCCTTGAGCCAAGTTTAGGGAAACTTAGTTATGCTGGGTTGGGAGAAATACATGTTTGAGCACGAATCAATAGGGGTGTAACAATATATTGTGTCACAATATATCGCAATACAAAAATGTAACAATATCTAGGTCACCCAAAATAAAAATTACTGTGTGAGAAGAAATTCAGGTTTTCAGAGTTTTAGTGTCAGTACTACATTAAAGGTTTAGTGATGTTTTTTTGTCATTTTTATTCTTTTTTTATTTTATTTTTTTATATGTCTTTAGTTTTTATAAATTTTTATTTCAGAATGAACTAGAGAAATGTTTCCTTAGCAACTAGCTGAAATAAAATAAGTTATTTCATGGATGTTGTTTTTTTCAGTTAACATTTATTTTATTTCAAGTAGCGATGTTTTTTTATATGGTTTTAGTTTTCAGATATACAAGGACTTAAATACACTTCCGAGCATGTTGTTATATTTAAATCACACAATATTTTGATATTTTTGGGGGCATAAAATTAAATATGTCAGGGTGAAGCAACTGTCCTAAAATCATGAAGAAAAAAAACTCTTGAAAACGAATATTGAACAGAAAACCTTAAATAGTTTGGCATAATCTTTTATTATCATGCCTAAGCTATTACACAGTTTTGTTAAAATATTACAAATATTTGAAATAGATTGGCTGCCAAATCAAAGTCATGTAGTGCAACCAACATAAATGAAAAAAATATAGCAGGAAGTGATGTCATAGAGAAGACCTCTGTCAGCCCTCATGATCGTGTGCCAAGGTCAATAAGTCTCTTAAAATATCTAATAATTTGACCTTTTTATGACAAGACAAGGATAGTTCTAGTTGTAAAATGGCAAGGTATTAAAATTCCCCCCAAATTTGATTTCCGATTCTAAAAATTCAAGATTTTAAATAGGCCTACTTTTTTTTTCTTGTAATAATTATTAAAAGCAGTTATTATTACCCATGTTTTAGAGGCATTCGGTTGAATCTTTTCTTGAAAATTTTATAAATGGTTTGTTTTTAAACCAAATGGAAACAACATGAATCCAGAGCACATAAGAACTTGACACATTATACTATACATATAGTATACTATACATGTACATGATAGATTTATAAAGGTAGATTTTTTCCCCCATCTTTTTCTTGGACACTCTCATATGTCGTTCAACAAATTGTCTCATTTGTGTCTGTTGTCATTTCTCCTTAGGAATCTTATGAGAAGCATCTTTAAATACAGAGTTAAATGTAGATCTCGTCCTCCCTCTGCCTCTCTCCTGTGTGTTTTTATATCTGGTCACTCGAGACATAAACACACACTACTTTTCCCAGAACTCATTGAATGTAGGATTCATGGTGCTTGAGCTGGTGTCTCTGAGGAGTTTTCCAGAGGCCCAGACCAGCTAAATCAAGCCTTTCATAACCACCAGAGGACAGAAATGGCCTTGTTGCCAAGTCATTGCTTGTTTGTAGTCCAGTTTTTCGAAAACCTATGTTTAGAATGGGATCTAATTATGTGACAAGGGGAAAATATGATTATGTTACGCAGGGTGCTTCATGTAAATTTCTTGCGGTTGCAACTGTCTTGCTGGTTCTAATCTGTTTTAATAGTTTTTTAAACACTAATTACAGGTTGTTATCTGTCAGAATATGCAGTGAATCATGCTTATTGAGGGAAGAATGTACGACACTTGAAACCTAAATTTAAGTTTGTTTTTTTCCCAGGACATATTATGTTTTTTTTTTTTACATATTCATCTTTCTATAGTGTGTGATGTTGCTGTTTGAGCATGAAAAAGGTCTGCAAAGTCACAAAGTCCCTCCAGCGGGAGTTATTCTCCATATCAGTGTCAGTGTTTCTGAACTCCCTGAAACGCCTCCATTGTTGTCTTGAGTTTTCTTCCGGGAACGAACACGTCATTCCTCATTTAAATAATTAGGAATGACGTGACGCAGAATAAAGGGTTGGGGCCTGGTTGAGTTAGTTAGTAGTGTGTTGAAACTGCTGGTTATGGTAAGGGGCGGGACAACTCCCAAACACGCTCGAAGAGCTTGACCAATCACAACACACTGGCCCAGCCGACCAATCAGAGCACAGTGTGCTTTTCCGAAGGAGGGGCTTCATAGAGACGGGAACTTAATAGAGCATTACTGAGAGACTGTGAAGAGAGGAGCTGCAACAATGGAGAATATGGGGGATATATACACTACCGTTCAAAAGTTTGGGGTCAGTGAGAATTTTATTTTTATTTTTTGGAGGAAAGAAATCAATACTTTTATTTATCAAGGACAGTAAAAACATTTATAATGTTACAAAAGATTCTATTTCAAACAAATGCTGTTCTTTTGAACTTCCTATTCATCAAAGAATCCCAAAAAAAAAAAAAAAAAAACTGTACAACTGACAGACCAACAACTGTTTCAACATTGATAATAATAATAAATGTTTCTTGAGCATCAAATCCTCATATTATACTGATTTGTGAAGGATCATTTGACACTGAAGACACTGACACTGGTGATGCTGAAAATTCAGCTTTGATCACAGGAATAAATGACACTTTACTATATATTCACACAGAAAACAGCTGATTTACACTGGAATAATATTTAATACTATAACTGATTTTTGTTGTATTTTTAATCAAATAAGCGCAGCCATGGTTAGCAGAAGAGATTTCTTTTAAAAGTATTTAAAATCGTACCGACCCCAAACTTTTGAACGGTAGTGTACATATATATATATATTTTAACATTCAAGCATGAAAACCTATTCTAGTAGAGCCCAGCTACAAAATCAAGACTTTGTAAAAGGGCATAATAAGAGGACCTCTTTAAAACCTTTTAAGTCTGTAGTTCTCAGTCATACATTTTTTTTACTTTAAACTTCCCGTGAAGTGTCCACTTGTTGTACACTTGAGAATCATTATTTTTTCTGTTTCTTTTTGTTTTTCTACTCTTTACAGACTCGCAAACTGACCAAAGTGGAGCGACAGCGCTTCAGTGAAGAGGTTGAAATGCTCAAGGGTCTTCAGCACCCAAACATTGTGCGCTTTTATGACTCCTGGAAGTCCACTGTGAAAGGTCACAAGTGCGTCCTGCTGGTCACCGAGCTCATGACGTCTGGCACTCTCAAAACGTGAGTTTGTCCTTCATCTCACAATCTCATATCATATCAATTCCTCTTTTTTTGCTGCTGAGGTAAACATTGTTATGCTTGCCAATTTCCTAGGTATCTGAAGCGTTTTAAAGAGATGAAACCAAAGCTCTTACAGAGGTGGAGTCGTCAGATCCTTAAAGGACTTCACTTCCTGCACACTCGCACCCCTCCCATCATTCACAGGGACCTGAAGTGTGACAATATCTTCATCACAGGGCCCACCGGAAGTGTGAAGATCGGGGACCTTGGCCTGGCCACACTCAAGAGGGCAAGTTTTGCAAAGAGTGTAATAGGTAAGTCATTGGAAACTACTGTAGTTTCTCAGGAATGATTTATCTTACATCTTCTGAGATCTTCAACCTCATTATGTTTCAAGTTTCAAATTAAACATTAAATTCTATATTTGAAGTTTTCACCTTTAGCCACTATAGGAACTTTAAAAAATGCCATCCTCCCATTGCTTCCTGTGTCCTATCAAATAAAGGCAATTACAAAGTGCACTTTTTAAAAGTGTTAAGAAACATAGTCAAGAAAATGTACTCTCTTTAAGAGACCATTTAATTAATCAATATTTTGTTAGTTGCACACAGTTTTTTTTATATACTGTACTTGAAGTACACTACAAGTACACATTCAATACAATAAGCACACTTCTCTTTCACAAGGGTTTTGAGTGATTACCATATTTACATATGGTGTTATTCACATGGTACTTCAAGGTAACTGTGGTATTCCCATAAACACAGTATTACCATGGTACCTTTTTTGTTAGTGACGTCTGAGCGTCCTCATATTGTGTTTAACAGGAACTCCAGAGTTCATGGCTCCAGAAATGTATGAGGAGAAGTACGACGAGGCGGTGGACGTCTACGCATTTGGCATGTGTATCTTGGAGATGACCACATCAGAATACCCATACTCAGAGTGCCAAAACGCCGCCCAGATTTACCGCAAAGTTACCAGCGTGAGTTTCAACCTGCTTGTATTATAATGCCTTTATTAATTACTCAATAATTTAATAATTTAGGGGTTTGTTAAAAAGTTTGGGGCGAGTACGATTTTATAATAAAGACATTTGTGATGTTGAAAAATATTTCCACTTCAAATAAATGCTGTTTTTGAACTTTCTGTTCATCAAAGAATCCTGAAAGAAAATTATTTCCACAAAATTATTAAGCAGCACAACTGTTTTCAACATTGATAATAATAAATGTTTCTTTAGCAGTAAATCAGCATATTAGAATGGTTTCTGACAGATCATGTGACACTGAAGACTCTGAAACTTCACTTTATTTGGGTGGTCCCTTTAACACATTCAGTTGACTATAAGTAACGTTGCACCTACATGTCTACTAACTCTCACTAGAGTGTTAGTAGAGTATTAGTAGACTGCTAGGGTTAGGGATAGAATAAGTTGACATGTAGTTGCAAAGTTACTTATAGTCAGTAGATTGTCTGTTGGAGGAGAATCACAATAAAGAGTTGGCAGATATTAAGCAGACAGTCTACTGATACTCTAATGACAGTTAGTTGACATGTAGTTGCAAAGTTACTTATAGTCAAAAGGATGTTCAAAAGGGACCATCAAAATAAAGTGTTACCTAAATTACATTTTAAAATATATTCACATAGAAAACGTCACATAGAAAATTTTCTGACCAAATAAATGCAACTTTGGTCAACATTAAAAAATGTAGCAACCACAAACTTTTGAACGATAGTGTTGTTATTAATTGTGAGATTGTTTTGAAATAGGTCCTATTGTCATGCAGATGTGCTGCTTGCATTATTGTGCATAAGCATATGTCCGTCCATTCGGTCTGTCCTAGTTTAATCTCTCACAAAGACAGCTCTGAGATCTTAAAGCCAGCATGACAAGTGCAGTAAACATCCTCTCTTTATTCCCTTCTTTCCTTCTCTTCCTGCTTGTCCTCGTTTCCTAAAGAGCTTGCTGTGTGTCATCTTTGAGCAGTGGTTTAAGACTCGGGTTCGGGTTGATTAGAGCTCCAGGCAGAGTTTGGGATACCCCCTGTCTGTATCCTGTTTACAAAAGCCCAGGACTCGTCTCACTCTGAATCATTTGAGAAAGGCCCTACAGGTCACATGTGGACACAGAGAGGTCGACTCCTGTTATATAACTTGTTGATACAGTATATTCACTTAGTCTGCCCCTTATTGCATTTGGAAAACTTTACCTCTAAATTACATCAACATGTTTACGGCATGGCTCAGATGTCTTCTTGTAATTAATGTAATGTAAACCAATTTATTCAATAGAAAAACCTTTCTTAATATAACAGTTCAAATAAGGGAAACTTATTAAACTTAGATTCACTCTTAGTTTATAGGGGTGTAACGGTACACAAACTTGACGGTTCGGTATACGTACCTCGGTATTGAAGTCTCGGTACAGCAGGGGTTAGAAAACTAAACACAAAATTGTGTTTTTTAACAAATGTGTATATGTGTTTAAATAAATTTTATTATAATTAAAATGTTCTAAAGGATAAAAAAATCTATCTTAGCTAATGCTGTAAAATATGGGGAGCCCTTAATTACACATTACTATAATATTAAAGGTTACAATTAACAACAGAGCCCAAATGGTTAAATTGAATTGCGATTTATATTTTAGATATAATAATCAACACTCAAAAAAACAAAAAAAAGTACTGTAAATTGCAAATAAGACTTTGTTTTATGTTTTTGCATTAACTTCTAAATCAAATTCTAAAGTTAATTTTCTACACCAATTCATTTTAGAAATATAATGCACATAAGACTTTGTTTTATGTTTTTGCATTAACTTCTAAATCGAATTATAAAGTTAATTTTCTACACCAATTCATTTTAGAAATATAATTCTTTACACAGTGGCTGTCATAAGTTGTTTTCATGACAATTTTTATTAAAACTACATTAAACAATCAAGAGATTACTAACATGTTAAGTAAATATAATGAATAAGCTAATATATTGCATATGAAACGCTTCTCTCTAGAGCTCATTTCTCTAGCGAACTAATCTGCTGTCGACACTAAATGCCTGAGGTAAATGTAATGATACATGAGATATTATTCTCAAGCTGTTTTATTGATATTTTTTCGCAGTTGAAACACTGGTTGAGATATGTAAACATATCAATCATTTTTGCACTTTTTACTGGTAGCAAACAGCGTTGTATTGTCGCGTGCGCCCCTTCTGGATTGGAGTGTGTATCGCCTGTGACTGAATGTATTCGTCGTACGACTGCATGCACCGAACCGTGACGTATGTACCGTACGGTTCGGGATGAATACATGATGTACCAATACACCAAATAATAAAAGTATTTTTACCTACAACAACAACCTTTAGTGGATTGAGACATGTTGTACTTCAACAGGCTTTTAGTAATGTTTTGATTTTGCATGTCAGAAAACAAGTTTATGATGTTTTTATACTAATAGCTAAACTTTACGCGGATGACGCCAGTGCTTTTGGTTTATAGGTGTGTTAAATAACGTGTCTTGAAAGAACGAAACAAAGCCTGCTCTGAAAAGGTTGTTGAGTGTTAATGACAAAGCCAAGGAGCGCACCGAAGTGTAAACGCAACAGGCACTCATCCAAAACTCCCGTGAACTCCATGCTTTATGCAGCTCATGCTCCACAAATATTACACGAGTCCACTGGGAAAGTGACCTACTCCAGCTGTAATTCAGCCCTCAGCTGTAAATCTTTGAAATTTAACAGTTTAACTTCACATTATTGAAGACTTTTGTGTAGTCGAAGTAACTCAAATGTGACAAATAACAGGTGTGAACTGTTGTAGATCTTAAAGTTATTGAAACAGCCATGTGTAAGTGTATTTTGGAAGAAATTAATATATCAGGGCTTTATTAAATTGCATCACTGGGTTCAAGAACAGATTAAGGTCGAAGAGATTCACATTCATTTACAAATGTTTTCTAAGTGTCTTATAGTACTGAAAGTTCAAAAAATGGAATATTGCACCGTTTGCATCCGTGGGAGGTCATATACCAAATTATTATGATGACAGACTTTGGCTGAGGCATTCCAGAATGATCAAACCAACATTTGAGATGCTATGCGATGTGATTGGTCCACTGGTTAGTCCAGTTATCCAATCACATCCACTGTGGCAAAGTCACATGAGTTTTTCTGTTGCGCCTCAACTGAGTGCATACGTTTTTATATGCATCTTTATTATTTCTGTGCATCTTGGCATTTCCATCCAGTGTTTTTTATGCAATCTCCCAACATTCCCATAAAAATAGGTGGATGGAAGCCTAGCTATTGTCAGTAACAAATCAGCAACTTTTTCAAAACTATTTGCCTGTAGCTCTCATGTAACTCGCTGTGATTAGATTATCTGAAAGGGAATCATCTTATTAACATTTGAACATTAGATTAATGATTGGCATTATTAAAACTTATTAAGCCTCTTTGACTGATGTTTTTCTCAAACTCTTGACATTTTACGCTGTTTTCAGGGTATAAAGCCAGACAGTTTCTGCAAGGTAAAAGTTCCAGAGTTGAAGGAAATCATTGAAGGCTGTATCCGCATGAACAAAGATGAAAGGTACTTTACTGCAGCTCAGATTATTGATTTGATTTTACACTTTAAAAATGTTCTGTGATCCCAATCTGGTATAGAAGCAATAATATATATATTATTCACCTGTGGTTACCATTATGTGGAATTATTTATATTTCACAGTCTTTAAAAAAGTGAAATTTCTTAAGATGCTGCAAAATATGTCATTCAGCAGAGCTTGTGTTTTTAATAAAAAATAAAATAAAATAAAAATGTCACAGGGTCAACAGTGATTTTAATGAAAACAAACTCAAAATAACAATCTCTGAACTTTCTAAATAGAAATACAAACACAGACCACCAGAAACGTATTAATCAAACTGTGAATCACCATAGAAACTAGTGCAAACATAGGAAACAGAACAGGAAACAGTGACACTTAAATTATAAACTGACACTTAAATTATAAATAATAATATATCCATCCACAATGTTATAATATTTATCTACTCCACTTTCCAACAACTTGGCAAACCATGTAGCTTTTGCCTTTGAAACTTGTATCCTTTGTATTGAGCCAAATATGTAATCATTATGTGATGTTTCAATGTTTAAACAGTCAAACATCTTTTTGTTGTAAGAATTTACAAGGCATGCATCAGGGTTGTTTCTAAACTAAAACTATTATACACATTCTTTTAAATTAAGCTAAAATATTTTTTTTTTAAATGAAAATATAAAAATAACTACACCTTTTTATTTATTTATTTTTTAACAATTTTTAAATAAAACAAAATATTAATTTCTTTATTTTATATTTTTTTTTGTGTGAAATTTACTAACAGTTTCTGAGTGGAAACTGTTCCTAAACCCAATTTTTTTCAGTGTATATAAAAGTCATGTATCACGAACAAATATCCCATTCACCTGCGTTTGGATTGTGAAGCGTGAAGCACCTTTATGCTAAATAATTTGAATAATTGAATCATTATTATGCTTAAATAATTGTACTACTTGAAAACCGGTGCACACAACCTATATTTTCAAATACAACATTATTCACAAAACAGGTTTAGCTATTAAATGACATTTATTTCAACCTAGTTTTATACATTGAGTTTGTGTGATGGATTCATATCGATCTCTCTGGCCAGATACACCATCCAGGACCTGCTGGAGCACACGTTCTTCCAGGAGCACAACGGCGTTCACGTTGAACTGGCTGAGGAAGATGATATGGTCAAATCCAGCCTGAAGCTCTGGCTTCGCATGGACGACACCAAGAAGCTCCACGGAAAGTACAAGGACAACAACGCCATCGAGTTCCTGTTTGAGCTTTACAAAGACGTGCCCGAGGAGGTGGCACAGGAGATGGTGAGCTTCTCACATGTCCCACTATGGTGTCTCACTGTCAGCTTTTAATATGTTTTATGAAGGGATCCTAGGTGTGGTTACATTCCTCAGCTACTATGACTATGTCACTTTAAACACTAAACCCAGATATTCCCCTCAGGGATCAACAAAGCCAATGTGTTCACAGATGTACGTTAATATGTGGGTTGAGCTTCCTGATCTGCAACAATGATCCTGAAGCTTTGATATTCACAGAGCTATTAAGTAAATATGTGTATCTTAGTAACCTATACCTGTAATTGAACAGGTGTTTATTTTAAAAAGAAACTCTATTGATCACATTTCATTCAAAAAAAACAAAGCATTTTGCATTGCAACACTATTTTCATAACAATTAAGCATTATTTCTCCACTCATTTCTCATAAACAGGAGCCGAAAGGTTTCCAGACATTTTACTTTTGAGTTTTTGCTAATATGCTTATTCTCAATATCAATTCTCATTACTATAAGACAATCATTTTTCTGATAATTGGAAATGAAACTGAGGGAATGCGCTTAATTGAATGAAAATAATGTAAAAATGTAAAAACCTTAATGGTCATTATTAATAGTATTGTCACAATATCAAAAATTCTGTATTCGGTACCAATGTCAGAAAGTCGTCACTGTTCTCTGTACCAATTTTGATACCAAACTACCAAAAAATATTAAAACTTTTGGTAACACTTTATTTTACAATGTCATTGTTACATGTAACATGTACTTAGTTTAGTAATAACAGTAAATTATGTATAATAACATGCAACTAACCCTAAACCAAACCCAATAGCAAGTACATGCTGTTAAAACTATATTACTCAGTACTTTATATTACTTCATAATTGCACTGTAACAATGACACCTTTAAATAAAGTGTAACCAAACTATATTATATTATTTGGGTAACTATTTGAAAATAAAAATTCTATATTAAATGAATAAATAAATGTAAATAATAAAGCTGTATGATGTAAAAAAAAAAGAAGAAGCATTTAGCCTTCAAATATGAGTAAATATTGCATTAAAATGACCAAATGAAAAGTTATCCAAAAAAAACAAAAACAAAAAAAAAACATTATATGTAATAGAGCAGGTGGCAAGTTTATACACTACAGATTTTCTTTTCTTTAAGCAAAATATAATTAATTATTTCATTTTACTTTGGACTCAAATATAAAGCATAAATGTTCTTGACAACTTTTGTTAGATTCACCTTTTGAAGGACCAAACCTGCAGAAATTAAAGATAGATAGATAGATAGATAGACAGACAGACAGACAGACAGACAGACAGAAAGACTGACAGATAGATAGATAGATAGATAGATAGATAGATAGATAGATAGATAGATAGATAGATAGATAGATAGATAGATAGATAGATAGATAGATAGATAGATAGATAGATAGATAGATAGATAGATAGATAGATAGACAGACGACAGACAGATAGATATATAGGTAGATAGATAGATAGACAGACAGATAGATATATAGGTAGATAGATAGATAGATAGACAGACAGACAGACAGACAGACAGATAGATAGATAGATAGATAGACAGACAGATAGATATGTAGGTAGATAGATAGATAGACAGACAGACAGACAGACAGACAGACAGATATATAGGTAGATATATAGGTAGATAGATAGATAGATAGACAGACAGACAGACAGACAGACAGATAGATAGATAGATAGATAGATAGATAGATAGATAGATAGACAGACAGACAGACAGACAGACAGACAGATAGATAGATAGATAGATAGATAGATAGATAGATAGATAGATAGATAGATAGATAGATAGATAGATAGATAGACAGACAGATAGATATGTAGGTAGATAGATAGATAGACAGACAGACAGACAGACAGACAGACAGACAGACAGATATATAGGTAGATATATAGGTAGATAGATAGATAGATAGACAGACAGACAGACAGACAGACAGATAGATAGATAGATAGATAGATAGATAGATAGACAGACAGACAGACAGATAGATAGATAGATAGATAGATAGATAGATAGATAGATAGATAGATAGATAGATAGATAGACAGATAGACATATAGATAGATAGACAGACAGACAGACAGACAGATAGATAGATAGATAGATAGATAGATAGATAGATAGATAGATAGATAGATAGATAGATAGATAGATAGACAGACAGATAGATATGTAGGTAGATAGATAGATAGACAGACAGACAGACAGACAGACAGACAGACAGATATATAGGTAGATATATAGGTAGATAGATAGATAGATAGACAGACAGACAGACAGACAGACAGACAGACAGATAGATAGATAGATAGATAGATAGATAGATAGATAGATAGATAGATAGATAGACAGACAGACAGACAGACAGACAGACAGATAGATAGATAGATAGATAGATAGATAGATAGATAGATAGATAGATAGATAGACAGATAGATATATAGGTAGATAGATAGATAGATAGATAGACAGACAGACAGACAGATATATCGATAGATAGATAGATAGATAGATAGATAGATAGATAGATAGATAGATAGATAGATAGATAGATAGATAGATAGATAGATAGATAGATAGATAGACAGACAGACAGACAGATATATAGGTAGGTAGATAGATAGATAGATAGATAGATAGATAGATAGATAGATAGATAGATAGATAGATAGATAGATAGATAGATAAATAGATAGATAGATAGATGCAATATTAAGAAAATAACTAAAAGAGGAAATGACTGCATAAAACAAATATAATTCATTTTAAATTTCATTTAATCCTAAATGTATTTTTATATCATTTATTAATTTCTGTTTTGTATTCTTTCAAACTTCATTTATTTTTCATTTATTTTTTCATGTATTTTAGTATTTGTCTATGTACGGATTCATTTATTTTTATATTTATTTATTTTATGAATACATTTTTTTGTACTTTTCCGTGTGCAACATGTAATTGAGGGAGGGGTTGAGAGCCCACTTACATTTTTTTTTTTTACTTATTCACTTATCATTTCTACAGGTTTGGTCCAACCTGCTTCAGTGTCTTTCATTATCTGTTTTGACTTTCCAGAACTGACCTTCACATTGTTGGTAATTTCCAACAATCTGTCCTCATTCAGTGTGGATTGCTTTACTCTTCCTGTGTCAGTAATGTGGGGCCGCCACTGAACTCTTGACCCTCATAGAGCACAACGTTTCAAACACACCTGTATCTACTGGCAGGCTTTTTCTTGACATAGTGGGACATGACCCTCGCCATTCCCTTCAGCTTAAAGACGAGGCCTGTGTGTTGTAACCCTGCTGTGTGTTGCATAACAGTTTCAAGGGCAGAACTTTTTAATCATCGGCGTGGAAATGTGAGAGCGGGGCCAAAGGAGGAAGAGGGTCACGTGACCGGTGATAGAACCGCTTCAAGACCGTGTTGTGAAACTGGAGCCTTTCTCTTGTCCAGACGCTTTATTAGGCTGGGCGGTCACAATCCTTCTTTTATCACTCATCAGGTCTGCTTTTCATCAAGAACAAATTTATCGTCAAATCACATCGACGGAGGGTTGTCATGTAATTTGACTAGCTGATGTGGTGATAGAGACTTCAGAGCAACATTAGCCAACTTTATTTCAGTGGAAACACACTGTTCCAAAGTTGGCTGAAAGGTTATTGAGATGTCCATTGCGGAGCCATTTTCATCAACTTTATGCCAAGCAAAATTTAGCTTTAGATCGGCAGGTGCTACAGGCAAAAGTATTGTTTTTTTTTCAGTCTAGTGAGATAAAACATCCAAAATACATATTTAAATGTTTATTTTATTACACTTTATATAGTTGTGTCTGTAAAATTCAATTACAATAAAGTTCGTTTTCAGTCAGAAATCTCCACTCCAGCAGCTTCACACACACCAAACTTTACATTTTTATTCCCATCTTTATTCCGAAAGCTTTTAGAGAATGGTTTGTTAATATATCATTTTATTTCAGTTGATGTTTGTCAAATAAAAGATAGATCCAAAATCCTCTTTATAAAAACCTTTAATCTGTCATCAAAATGAAACAAGAATTTTGAACCTGGCTTTATCCAATTTTCAGATTTCTGCTCTGGAAATGTATGCAAACGAGTGCATATTTAATTAGATAATCGACATTTGCATTTTTAAACAACATTTCAGAAAACTTGTAATACAAAACAACTGTTTTAATTGTACTGTGATTGATCACCTGTGGAACGTATAGTTGAATTTGATTTAAACCATGCCGGTGTCTCAATGTGCATACTATCCATCCTAAATATATGTGACATTAGTAATTGTCAACACTATTTAGGGTGGATCGTATACACATTATTTTTCAAAAAGTTTTGCACTTCCTAATAAATCCTGTCTTTCCCAGGTGATTCTGGGGTTTGTATGCGAGGTGGACTACAAGCTGGTGGCCAAGGCCATGCGAGACCGTGTGACGGCCATCAAGCGCCAGCGGGAAAAACATCGCCGGCTAGCAGAGGAGCAGCAGAAGAAGAAGAAGAAGGAGGAGATTATTGAGGAAGAGCCTGAGCTGTCATCGCCCAAACCCACCATTCAAATGTCCGAAAACCCCGCCCCCTTTCCTGTGCAGGCCCCGCCCACTCCTGGAATCCCTGAACCTGTCAGTGGCTCATCAGATTCTGGGATTATCGGGAGCTTCCCACCAGAGCCAGAGGAACCGGAGGCCGATCAACACTTCCACATCCACCATACAAGCTGCTCCTCAACAACCTGTAAGCACTAGATCTCTGTTTCATCATGTTTATGTGATTACAGAGTACTAATAGGCCGATACATCAGTCAGATGGATATATTTTTGGTTCATTATTGGCCATTAAAAACCCCACATTGATAAACCTCTATTTTAGATGTCTTTTCGCTCCCCTGCACAGGTTCAAGACGTCCAGTAAGCCTCACATAAACTACACTGTGCAGTGCCCTATATTTTCCTCAATGTTTCTTTCACGGCGTGTTAAGAGCAGCAGCTCTCCGAGACCTGAGAACAGCATGGCACAGTCAACTGACTCCACAAACAAACTCTTTTTAATAGCCAGTGTGTGTATGCTTATCGGGGAGGGCGAGGGGCTCGGGTACAGTTAGCAACTTATGCAGTTTGACACACTTTTGGAGTTTAACTTGTTGTATTGAATTACTAAAACTAAAATAAAAGCACAAAGCACATTCATATTTATGGTCATCATTCTGCTTGACCATATTCTACATCCCTTAATCACTTAACAACTACCTTACTAACTATTAATAAACAATAATTAGGAGTTTATTGAGGTAAAAGTAGTAGTTAATAGTTAGTTAATAGTGAGAACAATAAACAAAAGTGTGGCCGAGTAAAAAACTAAACTAAAACAAACAAACAAAAAAAAAGACAAAAACACAGTAAAATTACTAAAACTAACCAAAATTAGAATTTCTCATTTTCATTTGGTTTGACTAAAATAACCCCGGACATGACATGCTGTAAAAAAAATTTAGGGGAACAAATTATTAAATTGTGTGCTTGATTTAGTAAAATAACAGAACGAATTATTATATCGTGCCCACGATTTCCTTAAAACGAGGAAACAAATTAATAAAACATGGCCACTATTTACTAAAACTAGAGAAGAATTCTTAATTCGTAGCCACGATATATATATATATTTTTGTCCGCATGTCATGTGCAGGGCTCCGTAAAAACTGAAAATAAAATGAACAAAATTCTATACAGACATATTTATAGTCTTTTTTTAATGAATTCAAAATCAGTGATACTAAAATAGCACTGCCGTGAGTTAGGCGCCGACGTTTTGCCATGTTGTTTTCGATATTTTTTATATTATTTTATATCGAAATAAATAGTGCATTTAGAGGTGAATATTGTCTACTAGCATGAAATCCCCTCAAAATACAAATTATTAAAGAATAAATATTTTGAAATAAAATATAGTACTTTCATTGCATAAAAAAGCTAATTGTCTTTGGTCTGTTTTGAGCGCCGAGGATCACAAGTGTGAGCCCTGAGTGAGGTTTTACCAGACTGTCTGGTTCTGTGTTTCCCCAGCTGACTGCGAGACTGATGGAGATCTCAGCCCCTCTGGTTTACAGGATGGTCCCGAGGCTTCAAATGTCAACATCAGCTGCTCTCCACAGGCCACGCCCACAGAGGCCACGCCCATCACCACTCCACCAATCCCAGCTCTCCGTTTCCCCTCAGTGAGTTTATAATGACAAAATTGGCCTCAGTTAATGACGAGTTAAACGTAGGAGACCCATTTAAACTCAATTTACGCAATTTAGGAAGTCATAATGTACTTGCTTCTTTGATGTTCATTGTTAAGTACTTCATGTGTCCCTTAATCTCCTCTCAGAGCATTGCCGTGTCGACTAAAACAGAGAGAGGACCTCCTAGCCCTTTCTCCTCACCTGTGGACAGGTAAAAACCTGCTTTCTTGATCCCTCAGCTCTTCAATAGCATCTGTGCCATATTAAAAACACCCATAAGACACACAGAACTTCGAGGTTTGTGTTTTACTTTAGTGCCAGATGTACTGATGGCTTTGTGCTCAGTAGGGTCCATGTTTTCATATGGAGTCCATCTTTCGTAACAGTGCACATGCTCCACGTCCTATAGGATACTGTTTATACACCACAGGGCTCTTGGATGCCGTCCCTAGCAAATGCCTGCCATTACAACATAGTTTTCCACTCATAAGAACTTCACGTTTCTCAGCAGGCGGAGATCTTTCAAAAGAGCCAGAGTCTGCCAAGCAGTAGGCTGGCTATAAGCGGTTTTGTGGGCCTCGTAGGAAGCCCAGTGTTTGGATTAAACGGAGGCTTGTGTTGGTAAAAGACCTGAGAGACACAATTAGCTCATAGAAACAAGCTCAGAATGGACTCCACGTCCCAACAGGCCAAACTCGGCAAAGATAAAGCCAATTCAAATACTACGTCTGTCTAGTTCTTTCTCTGTAGCCGTTATATTGGATTTCCAGGAAACAGTGCAGTGAAAACTACATGTTTTGAAGTACATGACAATAGCTGGGTTCCAGTCACGTGATTATGATGACGCGCGAAATTCAGATGGAGGGCAGGCAGTGAAGAGCGCAATGGATGAGATGGAGGAAAGTTCGTACTGTACTACTTTACACGCTATTACAAGAGAAAGATATAAACAAAAAATCAAACATATGTTGGACGTGATCCTTACGTTATGAAGAGGAGCGATTTTTCAACTGAATTGAAAGATTTTCATGCCATCGAGGCGGTAGAAATCAGCAACTACCTCGTCTTACAGACATACTTTGACTTTACAAAGTTCGGGAACGTGACACGTTACACAAACACAGCCACTTCTTAAGTTGTGATCGCTGCACACACGGGCATTTTCCCATTCGGCTCCTCCCGACCGCAGACGTAGGTTTGCAAGCCGCTTTTCTGGAGTTTTTCGGTCAATTTCTTGCATTTCCCCCCCTTATGAACAACAACTTTTGGTACACGATAAAAACTCCTCGTGGTTTGATCGATTTAAGTAACCATAAACGACGCAAAACATAGGCATTTTGAGTTTGTTATAGGCCCTGTCCCAAATGGCACACTCCGGACTTGTGGACTTCCTCAGAGTCCACACTTCGGTGACGTCATGTAGTGCAGACCTATAGGGCCCTTAGCGCGAGGGCGCATTGAGAGGTATTTTTGGGACAGACTCGATCGTCACGCCGGAAACAGGAAGACGGTCTGATTGTTGTTATGGACAGGAGCTACAGGTTCGGGGAAATATGCTGCCTATATTGTTGTTGTGTTTACATATGACTCAGTAAAGCCCTGACATTCTGTTCTATTTATTTAATGAATCATAATGCGATCGTATTATTCAGCTCGCTATTATTAGCCTATGTTTGAGACATCAACCACTGGTCAATGATCATAATGTTTGTATAAACTTGTCATAAAAACCGTAATGATAATTACACTTAAATATTTTCTTCTCAGCCATGTTAACAATTGTCCGTGAGCGAAATCTCCTCCCATCCGTTGTCTGATTGGCCTTTCGCAAGGATCCCTTGGTAGTTAAAGTGCGTGGAGCCTGCGTCTATGCGGGCTTTGCGGAAGACCGCTTCAAGGGTACACAGGGGGCGCTGCTGAGCACACTTCAGAGCGTTAAAATGCTAAATGGGACGGCCTACGGACTCGTAGACTCGGTGAGCACGCGCAATTTAAGTCCACGAGACCGAAAGTCTGCATGAAGTGCGCCATTTGGGACAGCGCCATAGTGCTTTTTCAGCAAATCACTTCCTGCCCTCCTTTACATTTTGCGCCATGGCAACGCAGTGGCGTGACGTCATATGAAAACAAAATATACGCTGATTTCACGCAGCCGCCATTTTGAAATGGCTCCGGTGGGAAGAAAACCGGAAGTGTCGCTTTTAATCATAGGAGAGTCGCGAATGCGATGGCGTATTGTTGTGTTAATGTAGAAATTAGTTATTCTACATACATTTCTTTCATACTTTAGACTATATACAGTGAAATTAATTTATAAATAAAACATTTTTTTTATATATAATTCAGAACGTAAAAAAAGAAGCAGGAACGAACTATATACATACCCTATATTGGATATTAACATCCAATAGTATAAATCGCGGCAGCAGCTTCAGGTTGGTAGTCCAAGGCATTGTTATTTATCTGTACTTCCGGGGTTCTTCCCACCGGAGCCTCGCTTTCGATTTCAAAATGGCGGCAGCGTGAAATCAGCGTATTGGACATTCAATACAATTGATCACACTTTTCCACAAGGGTCCTCTGTGCTGGACATTACTGACACAATGCAAGCTGTGGGTCAAAGGCTAAACGAAGGACATACAAAAGTTTGCTTACTTCAGACTCGTAAAACCTAATAAGAGGGAACACACAGCACTCATGAAATGCACCATGTCTTCTTTAAAAAACCTAATATTAAACAAAAAAGTGTGTTGAGATGGTGTGAGAGGGAAATTCCTCCGTGGTTTTCTTCATTCTGTGCTTATTGAACCGTTTTTTTAGGCCCAGTTTAACTTCAGGTCTTCCAAACACCCGTTTACTTAACATGATGTTCACTTTTGTACTTTTATAAGTTTACTTGGTTGTGCAATGTTAGCATAACAAACTTAGTTTTAGCAAATGGTGGTGGGCGAGTTACACACAGAAGTTTAATACTTGTAAGGTGTTTTTTTAAATCCCTTTACCCGAACTACAGTATGAGCAATAGCAAACATAAGTAATGATAGCTGATAATGATACACACGTATTTTCCTGCAGTTCGGACTGTCATAGAATGCAAAATATAATGTTTTGTCCATATCCTGTCATATAATTATCCTGATTATGTCACAGTTATGCTTCAGATGTGACCTCAGGCTTGAGCGATGGCTACGAGGGACAATCAGAGAGGGGGAGCAAGTCAGCGCCCCGACGGACAGCAGGGAAACTGTTTAGGCGGAGAACGCGGTCCCGCCTGCGGATTACAGGGGTGAGGAAAAATCAGCATTTCATCCGGTCACGTATACATACTCCTAACTAATGGTGTACCAATTATGAGCTTTTTGGTGGCCGATGCAAATGCCGAAATCTTAGAGAGCAGGGTGGCCAATAAAAACTAGATAAATATAATCTTTAAATATTTCATTTTAAAGATATTTGAAATTATATTTACCACATTAAATTGTAAATTTGTTATAATAACTTAAAATAAAAAGTTATAAATATATATATTAAAACAATTATTCATTTAAAATAATATTATATTATAATTATAATATAATTTTGACTATTTCATTTATAAAGGTAGTAAATGCTGCTATAATATTTATATTATTTGACATTATATTTACCAAATGAACCAATTATGAAAAAGAACACGAGGAAGCATAGCATTACTAATAACTTATTTTGTTATAAATTCTTGAATATATATATATATAATATAAATATAATATTTATTTAAAATATAATTATAATATAATTTTGACTATTTAATTTGTAAAGACAATAAATGCTGCAATTATATTTACATTAATTTGACATTAAATTCACTAAATTGAATAAATAGTAAAAAATACAAAATACAAATGTATAGCATTTGCCTTTTTTATCACTAATAACTTTTTATTATTCATTTATTATAATAACTTAATGTGTACAACTTATAATTATATATTATACAAGTTTAATTAATTTGAAATTAATATTATTGTGATATTATAATATAAGGTCTTGGCGCTGTCAAAATAAAAGTCCCCTTCCGACAGTTATCAGCCAAGCAGAAAAAGTAGTGCCCAGTTCTGGTAATTAAAAAATGCTAAATATCTGTGATATATCAGTCAACCATTACTCCTAACCACTGGCCAGTGCATTTCTGCACTTCTGTAAAACCATCAGATGATCAATAAATAATGTTAGCAAGGCAAATGGTGATAACTTGCAATGATATTGCATGTGAATTTAACTAAGATGTTTAGCAGTTGTCCATGTGTGATCGTTCTCTGTGAGGGTACGGGATGTCCTCAGTCATTTTTTTCATGAGGAACCCTTTGGGCTTGCATTGATTAGTGTTTAAAGGGCCAGAGAGATAAACTATAAACACACAGTCAAACACAATTAGCTCAGACCATGACTAATGCACACGCACAAAGAGAATTTTCTCTTTATTTATCCTATTATGCATAAATAATTTGAATAATCTTGTTTACACAGTTATTGAACTGAATTGAACCAACACTGACCTGAACTGAACATTGACACTATTATCTTGCCGTAAATGTACCGCATGAGTCTTTTCATTGATGACAAAATATGCAATACGTTTGGGGGCGTCTAGAAACCCACCTTGGCTGTATCAATAACATGAATGTCTGGTAATATGCACACAGACACATTTGTATTTTCCGTGACAATGATGTGTGTGTTGTTCCCCACAGCTGTCTGATAAAGTAGATCGGGTGGTTGAGTGTCAGCTACAGACGCATAACGATAAGATGGTCACCTTCAAATTTGACCTGGATGGCGACAACCCTGAGGACATCGCTGCGGTGATGGTAGGTGCCTAACATCTTAAGATGCACACATTGACACATTGTCTTTTCTTTCCTTTGCCATGTCACTGCATAAGAACCTACAGCTGGACTCATGTTCATGTGCATGTGTTTGGGTCATAATCAGGAAAAGTCCCATTGCATGTTCATTTAAAAAAATTACTGCAGAACTTTCAAACTAATCATATTTGCCAACCTCGGGGTGGAAGTATTAGAGTAACCCCAATATTCAGATTATTGGCCATCAAAAAATAAAAAAATAAAAAAATCAATTGCAATGGACCCTTTTCACAGATTGTAATGTTGAGTTTCCATAGCTATTAACATTGTAAATCTATTTTTTCTTTTTTCATATATATATTTTTTACTAATATTATTATTTAACATACATTTATAACACAATACTTTGTGTTACATTATCTTGCCATTAAATTTCAGAAAACTAGTTACTGCTGCTGTGACATCTTTCCCTCTTCTGACCACCTTAATCGATTTTTTTTAACTCTTTTGTAAAGCAATCCAACTGATTTCAACATTGATAATATAAAGAAATGTTTCTTGAGCAGCAAATCATCATATTAGAATGATTTCTGAAGGATCATGTGACGCTGAAGACTGCAGAAATGAAGCTCAAAATTCATCTTTGATCACAGGAATAAATTACATTTCAATATATATTTACATAGAAAACAATTACTTTAAATTGTAAAACATATTTAGCAATATTAAAGTTTTTACTGTAACTTTTTTAATACATGTTGAAATTAATGTTAACTATGATTAATGTTTTAGATGGGTTTTTTATAGTTCATGCTAACTACTAATAAACACTGCCTTAAATACAAAAACTGCCAAACATTACCAAAATGAAATGGACTCGATCTACAATATTTGTGTTTTGATCATCGTTCTGAATCCGATCCATACGTAGTCTTTGACAATAACACGATTTTCTCAGCTTTTTGTTCCAAAATTTATTTTTTATGTAACACACCCACATTCAAGTGTTGATAAAAAAAGATTGAATGAAGCTAGTATAAAACGTTTTTGTTTGTTTGTTTAAAAGCAGAGTTGTTTTTTCTTTTGATATTCTGCATGTTATATGCAATATATAGGCCATAAAATTTTGTGAAAATGGTTTTTAAACGATTATTTCATAGAAGAGCACAATACATGATACACATGCACATACTAACATTTCACTATTATTGTTGTACATTTCAGAGATATTTTGATATTTAAGCTGCCAGATCACCAACTGCTTCAGACATCTGGTTCTGTTTGTCCCTCATTATAAGATGCAGGAGAGCGGTTGCATTTCTTCTTTTTTTTCTCTTTTTTCTTTTTTTCTTTTTCTGATTGAACGCTCACCCCCAAAACGTATAAAATGCGCCAGGGTTTACACAAAATGTCATGGGCTATTTACCCTATTCATAAAATTCACCCTATCTACTTTCTAAATGCACTTTATTGATCTTATTGTCAACAATTACGTCTGTAGGTACTACTAACTATAAGTAACTTTGAAACTAGCAGTCATTAGAGTAATAGTAGACTGTCTGCTAAATATCTGCTAACACTTTATGTTGATGCTCCTCCAACAGACTTACTACTGACTATAAGTAGCTTTGCAAGTAAGTCAACTTATTCTACTCTACTAATACTGTAATGAGAGTTAGTTGACATGTAGTTGCAAAGTTACTTATTATACTTATAACGAACACGTCACAATATTCCTAATTTAAATAATTCCCACTCAAGGCATACGCAGAATAAAGCCTGGTTGAGTTAGTTAGGAGTGTGTTGAAACTCATGGTTATTGTAAGGGGCGGGACATTTCCCAAACACACTCGAAGCGGTTGACCAATCACAACACACTGGCCCAGTCGACCAATCAGAGCACAGTGTGCTTTTCAGAAGGAAGGGCTTCAAAGAGACTGGAACTAAACAGGGCCGGGTTTCCCGATAACGATGTATCTTAAGAGCGCTCTCTACGTGCAAGGTTACGAACGCCGCCGCAATTCGAGAAAGCGTTCTATAACCTTATATGGAATCGTATTCTGAACGTTTAACCTAATAATCGTCATTTGTTGTGGATTAGAAATCAAGACAAGTCTATATGGATATAAAGCACCTAGGCTGACAAAATGGTTGAACAAAAACAAAAAAACAAGAGAAGATACCTTTCAAAAAGATAAAATTAATATCCTTTTAGAGGAGATAGAGGGAAACAAAGATTTTATTTTTAACAGATTTAAAGGACACCATACAAATAAGGAAAAACAAAACATCTGGAAGGACATTGTCACATTGCAAACTATCTCCAACCGTGTTCAAAGATCAGGGAAGGAGGTCGCAAGAAATGCCAAGTCATTGACAGATTTTTTTGAATTCATCCCTATTTTGCCCGGTCTTTAAAGCATATTTCCCAGATTACTTATTTTATGATTTTTTTGTTTTTTGTTCATTCGTTTAATTTAGATGTGTATTTCTATTTTTTCTTCCCTTTTTAATTATTTCATTTAACAAAACACGAGTACAACAAAGTGTACAATAAAGTACAATCAAAACCTTATATTATACTTACGTTGCAGTGTAATCTGTTAAATCTAGATAAAAGTGTAATCTGCCGGTTGTCCTGCAGGTGACCTCATATAAATCTGTCTTCTTACGATGCACTTGGGGATTTACGATTACTCCAGAGCACTCGTAGTTCTGCGAAGATTTTCAAGTGCTACTTAAGTTACGATGCTTTTGGGAAACAGACCATAATATTAAGATCAGTCGTATGATCGTTTTTACGATCAACTTATAGGCTTACGATGTTTTTGGGAAACGCAGCCCAGAGTGTTACTGACAGACTGGCAAGAGAGGAGCTGCAACAATGGAGAATATGGGGAAATAATAATGAAAACCTATTCTAGTAGAGCCCAAAAAACTAAATCAAGACAAAAGAAAAAGGCCATAATAGGTCCAATAAATTTGAGTTGAAGGATAAATGGGCAAGAAGAGGAGTGAATAAAAATTGTGCTTTTCATATCAAATAGAATTTATTTTTAATATAGTTTATTCCTGTCATTTTCCATAAGTTTGAGGCTTTGATTGTAATGCTGAGTGTGTAGGAGTGGATGGACGGATGCCTATTGTAAGTGTGTGTGTGTTCGATGACAGGACTGTGTGACTGCATGCAGCTCCTTCTCTCAGATACAGAAGCTCTTTGTTTCGGCTCAGAGTCCTGGCAGCGCTGTAGTCGCTCCTGGTGTGTTATTGGTTGGAGGGTGAACACCCACTGCTATTAGTGGTGTGTAAAAGCTCAGCTTGTGGACAAACTTAATTAAAGCTCCCTTGAATTAAAAGAGTGTCCACAAGTGCGCACATGCTCAATTTAAGCACGTTTCATTTTAAGTAGTCAAGGGATAGTTTGAATCGCACACAGAGCCCTCTTGATCCCTGCAAGGTCTACGTGCGCTACGTGTGCCGATGCCAGCTTCCCCTCGGCATTCAGAATTGATGGTGCTTGCTCATTTTGTTTTGTTTATTTCTTTTTTCTCACCCCCTCAAGGTGCATAATGAGTTCATCCTGCCCTCAGAGAAGGAAGGTTTCATTCACCGCATCGGTGACATCATTAAGCGAGCAGAGTCTATGCTGAAGGACTCATCTGGTCAACATGAAACCTACGGAGCCGCCCGTCCCTCTTATCTTAATGCCGTCAACTCACTGTCTGGTTCTCAGGTGAGCCTGCAAGTGAAGAAACCTTCCAGTGCACTCGCTCACATAATCCATTGCAACATGATAACTACCAATAAGCTATGCCACTTATTTGAATAATTATTTATGCACTTGTAGCAGATCATTTTAATGCAATGTTTCTCTGAGGTCTGTGTAACTGAAGAAGATAAATCATGTTTCCAGCTATAGCTGTAGGTGAGGGTGTGCGCTCTGTTCGGGAGTTTACACAACCACTATCTTTCAACAGAGTTCTCTGTTGTTGTGAGTGTTTTTGTCTGAAAATGATCATCGGTTTCAGGTTTAAGTCATAATCTTGAGGTGCATTCTGTACTATTTTGTCCTGTTCTGTAGGTTGGCTAACGTCAGACCACGTCTCATTGAGATTGAGACGTGGTCTGGGAACCACATGTTCATTTTCTTGTATTTGAGGCGTGGTTTACGAACGCCCAGAGCCGTTTATTGGGTGCTACGAATGTCTATTAAATGCGCCTGTACGAAGCTCATAGCCAATCCTTTCAATTATACCAGATGACGTATGTAGAGCGAAAGAAATTAGACGAGGAAGAAGACGATGGGTCAGAGATTTATTTGCGTTCATAGACGTCGTCATCGTCTTGCTGCTCCCTCCTGGTCCCCTCGCTGAGGCCAAAAAAAAAAAAAAAAAAAAGAATAAAATCGCGCTGCGCAAAGGCAAGTATGGGGAAACCCAGGCTACCTGTTCTGGGTAGCACAAAAGAGGACAGGTTAACAATGAGCGACTGCTTTAGATATGTGTACACCTTGTGCATTTAAACTTCCTCCGATTTCCTCTGCTATTTACAATGTGAATGAACCTTTAAAGCTGCAGTAGGGAGTTTTGAGAAAACGTTGACTTAGCCTGAAAATTTGAACAAGCACAACTTACAGGTCCCACCCCCTTGCTCTCTGCTGCGCTACAGCCCTCCCTCCACAGTTCGTCCTCCACAGCGGAGCCTGTCGTGAACGCGCTAGTAAACAGGGCCACCGATAACAGCGGATAAAAAGTTATATGGCACATTCACTAATAGGGACTAAACGTCAACAATATGCTTTACATTGACTATGGCCTGCCCATACTTTGACTACAAACTTGGTCCTCAAATCATTATGTATTTTGCAATAGCCTACATGTAACTTTATAACGTTGCACTCTTTCTATAAGTTATAAATAGCTAGTAAGATAACGTTAATATAACGGTAACTAACGTTACAGTATGTAAGTAATTATTCTAGCAATATATAATGCTAGATAACGTGTGCTAGTACATTATTTCAGCAACATGACAAGCCAGTGAATTAGCAGGTTTCAATTGTTGCTTAGCAGAGTGCGTGACATTTTATCTACATGTTATGCAGCTAGAGTTTTGACACAGAGTCAATGGGCTCTGTGTAATTCTTTCTTTTTCGCTTGTTTATCGTCATCATGCTTTTTCCTTTTACCTCTTTGTTTTATGAGCAGGTGTCACTTGAGAATTGGCAGTTTAGGTTGTGTCTCCGTCATAAGCACAGCTGCAGCACGCCGGCAATCTTGAGTTTGAACGACGGCTCGCGCTGTACAAGAGAGGGGTGTGATCAGCGCGTACACGAGCGTGATTGACACTGCTAAGACACTCCTCTCGGCTCTGATTGGTTGTTTCTGACCGGGAGCGTGTATTTCTTGCAAATGGCAATTGGACCACTGGGAGGAGCCAGAGGAGCTTGATTTTTACACAGATTATCTGTCTCATATTCTACTGTCAGGACATAATGACAGTTTTAGCAAATACATTTTTTCAAAAGTTACCTACAGCAGCTTTAATGGAACCTGCGTAATCACAGATCTTTTTCTCCAATCCTACCTCATTAGAAACAACATTGTTAATAAAGTTATATTGGGATACTGGCAATGAAGACTTACTTTGAAAAGTTCTGGTAATGGATGTATCAACATAGTTGCTATATATTTATCAACATCCATAACCAGAACGTTCCAATTCAATATAAACTGTATATATATATATATATATATATGTAAGGGTTAATGCCCGACGAGGTGTCCATTGTCAGGTTTTAATGGACGACGGCGAGGTGTGAACCGGCCGACGCGCACCGAAGTCCATTAAAACCTGACAATGGACACCTCGGAGGGCATTAACCCGCTTATACCATGGTCACTTGCCAAATAAAACATTTTTAAAACATTAGTTTATATTTAAATTAGGCTAAATCTAGTTTTTACAAATAATAACTTGCCTGACGGTTTATTTAGCAACCGGAGATATTTATAGTCCGCTCAGCTTGTAGAACCCTTCAGGTTCAAAAATGCTTTTTTTTTTCATGAAACACAGAGGTAGGCATAGTTATTTTTTTATTACACATAAAACAATTAATCAAACAACAATCAAACAAAAAAAAACAATTAGTTCTGCGCTCCAGCGATTTGCGCTTATAGAGGGCAATAAATTAATCAGATCAAAGAGAGGGTCATTTGCCTACATGCTCCCGGTTTTATTTCTTGTGTCGTTTCTCCGTTTTATTTACATTTTTTCTTTCTTCAGCAGCATCCCAGTCGTCGAAGTTGTCATATTCTCCATAAATGTTAAAAGAAATAACGAAGTCGCTCATTGTTGTATTAGTAGGCTATGTAATATCTAACTAACGTTAGATGTTTGTTTTGAAAGTGCAAATTGTAAACGGATACTTTGACTGCCTGTTGCTATGGTTACTCGGATACTTTGACTGCCTGTTGCTATGGTTACTCACAGCTGATGTAGGCAGCGCATTTATTTATTAATTTCGAACGGTAAACAGTCAGTTTCACCAGAACTACTTTACTAGGTGTCCTCTATCACTTTTTAACGGACACCCTGCAGCCAATCAGAATCGTGTATTCACCCAGACCATGGTATAAATATATATATCCCCCAGCTCCACCTGCCTAGATATGCTACAGATTTATAAATGTCTATTTATACAGTAGCAGCGTATCTTACATGCTCACAGCAGCGTGTCTGTGCTGTGTGATGCCTAATGCCATTTAGCTACAACTATATTCATAGTATAATATGGCTGCTTATAACTAGTCATGCTGCTATACAAATATGATGAATATTTGTCCATATATCCAAAAAACAGTAACATGAACATTATGGTATTTTTAGCTGCTCTTTGCAATAAAATCTTCACTTCGTGTCCAAACTCTATAGAACAAAATGCAGTCTCGGTTTACTCCAGCCCGCTAGTCAACTGATCTAAAGATATGTCTTAATTAGTACAGAGAAGCAGAACAATGGCTGTTTTATTTGGATTTAGAGATCTATAACAGCCTAATGGAGGCACACACACCACACAATCATGCATGGTACCCCCCGAGGGTTGCGAAACCAGCGCTCAAGAGAAGTCCGCTGGACCCGGACCAGTTCCTGATTACAACCAGCCGCGCAAAAGTAGCTGCGTCCCAGACCTCCTCCCTGCAGGCGTTAGATGCTCGTCTCGAGAGTCTCCAGCGTCATTCGCTCAACAGCCTCAAAGCTGGACTGTAAAGGCTTAGAATATGACAGAATGTAACCCTCGTACACAAACCACAGGCCTCTTTTCCAATAACCAGTGCAGCTGTGGGGTTGAGACTGAGAGAGTTTATGCAGGTTTGTGTGTATGAGCTGTTTTGTCCTGTCGCAGTGCCATAGAGAGAGAGAGAGAGTGCTTGTCGTGTTAATGATTGCGCAAGTCGTATGTAAAATGACTGCAGTGGAGACAAGCAATTAGACTGCGACTGCTCTTAACCTTAATTAAACTTAAGCACTCTGTCATTAAAGAATATTACACTAATAAATAAGACCTCAGGGCTGAAGTCGATACTGTTACTGTTAAACATTATGCAATAATTAAATAAATGACATGATTAAAAAGTATTTTATAAAATGTCTAACAGGATTATGCTTTATTTACTTCCAATGTGATTAAACATGAATGAAAGATTGATTATTTTAATTCAATTTTGGTTTATATTATTATAGGTTTAGATATAATAGCACAGTACATAATCATAGTGTAAAACACACTTAGATTTAATTGATAGTTTTATTAACAAAAGTAAACACATTTATAATGTCACAAAATATTCGTATTTCAAATATATTCTGTTGATCAAAGAATCCTGAAAAAAAACATATCACTGTTTTCACAAAAATATTAACATTGATAATATCCTCATCAAATCCTCATATAAGAATGATTTCTGAAGGATCATGTGACACTGAAGACTGGAGTAATGATGCTGAAAATTCAGCTTTGAATCACAGGAATAAATTACATTTTAAAACATATTAGAACAGAAAACAACTATTTTATATTGAAATAATATTTCACAATATTACAGGTTTTATGCATTTTTGATCAAATAAATGCAGCCTACGCACAAGAGACTTCTTTCAAAAACACTAAAAATTACATAAATAGTTTTTTCATAATATGGCTGGAATAAACCCACTCATTTAAAAAAATATATATAATTTATAAGACATTGCAAACTGTTTTTCCCTTTCAGCCAAGCCTCCACAGTCTGGCACGAGCTCATTCCTCTTCCTCTCTACCAGGTAAGCTTGCATAAGCTTGACCATTGAGTATTGATGAAGTAGCTCTTTCAAATCAGCACCTTTTTCACACGTATATACATATGGTTTTTTAGCGGAGTTTGGTCTGGGCGCCGGGGCGAGAGCCTCTCCTCTGGGAGTCGGTGGAGACATTACCTCATCCACACGTCCACTCTTACGCTCACAGTCTTTCCATAATGGCCCAGGTAAGTGACCACTTCTCTCCAATGTACCTCTCTTAGTCTTTCCTATTCCTGCCTAGCTGTGAGTGGGAATAAAAACTGAACGCTCTTTAAATGTCATCCGGCATTATAACATACTGAACATCACAGATGCAGTTTGATTCACTCTGGCTCCAGGGACTCTTGGGTAACTGCTTTAGCTGGAGCTTGTGGGCTGTGAATGCTGTCTTCAGGGTCCCAACAATGCAATCTTTTCTTCCCTATTTTGACTTACAGTATTTGTTTTTATGACCCTACAAGTTTGATTAAACCATCAAAATATGAGGAAAATATATTATATCTTAAATTTTTTTTTTTTGAAATTAGGGAAGAATAAAATACTTGGTTACAGTATTTATCTGACAAAACAACATCTACAGGTTTTATTTTACTAAGCAAAAATATCATAGAAAAACAAAAAGCTCACAGGAAAAAGCATATATTGATTACAACATAATCAGTTATTGATATTTCGTTGGTTCTCTATTGTTTTTGCATGTTCATAATTTCTTTGTATGATGGCCTGGTCAAAAAATGTCCATACAAGTTTTAATGTCATATTCAAATTTACTTATATATACTCAATTCATGAGGTATATATCATTGATTTCACAGTTTTAAACCAAGCAACTACGAGTATAACGTTTTTAGTGTGGAATATTTACAACCCAGTCCATCAAAGTGACAGATAATGTTATTTGTAGTGCATCTTCTAGCCTCCACGTGTGTTTGTAAGTTCTTCCACTCTGGTAATTTTGTCATAAATTAAATGCTAAGACCCAGAAAGCCTGCATGTCCCCCTCCTAGAGTTTCTCTCTCTACTACTGTCCCGCCTACAGAACATTTTGTTCTGCTGCTGCTTTCTGGCTTCATGCCTCGAGGATACATCTTGCGTATTCGTTTTTTTGAAAAAGAATATCCAGATATAACCAAAGAGCCACTGTTACGATGTCTACAGCAATTATGTTCAGCCTCTTCTACAATGGGAGCTTTACAAGCGAATGCACAGATGGTTTTTATTTTCATTAATGTCAGAGAGGCTTTGGCTCGCTCGCTTTATCGATGTTAAACTTCAGACATGATCATTCACTGGGGCCGGTCCTTTGACGTAATGGACCCATCAGAGACGTTAGACAACACTTTGTGTATTGCTATGGAGATGGTACAGTGTGAAAGGTGCTATTGTATTGAGGCATTTCACTTTGGCATTGACAGTTGATGGGACAAACCCATAGGTGTGTGAAATAGAGGGAGGGTGACGTCTCACTCACACAAAAGACTTTCAGCAGAGGAACCTGTTTGGGACATCTATCATTGCCAATATTCACATGAGTATTGCGATCATGGTTCGCTTGCTACTAATGAATTTGATTATGATAAGATCAGTTGCAACAGTAGCTTTTGTTGTTTTCTGGAAAGCCTTCTAGCTAGACATCCAGCTAAAATCGGATCTACAGTTCTTTCCAATATATATTAAACAGTTTCTTTATAAATGCATAAATGTATATAGACAACTCTTCAGATGTTGGTGCTTGCTAACCTAATACTAATACTTTGTCTTGTAACTCGCCCACATATTTGTGCTGCAGACATTAATGATACTGTATCTCATGCAGCTTTTAGAGGAGTGACCTTTGTCATTTTGATAAATAGCAAATATTAAAACTATACCATTTAGTCTAAATGAATTAAAAATAAAACACACAAAACACTAAAAATCAATTTCTGTGTAAAAGAAATTGTTCAACTTAAAAAAAGTAAGTGTTTGTGTTGCCTTAAAATTTTAAGTTTAGTCAACTATTGTAGTACTTGATATTTGAGTTGAATAAACGTAAAATTTTAAGGCAGCATGAACACTTTTTTAAGTTGAAACATTTTTTTTTTTTTTTACAGCACGATTACGTGTTTTTAAAAATTAACAAGGCAAGTTCTGGAAAGTTTTGCACAGAGCAAACACCACTCACTGCCTTTTTAAAAAATGAAAGATAAATATATACCTACCATTTGACTAATATCTTTGTCATTTCCCAGGTTCTCATCCTCATCACGTTCCATCAGCCTCAGCCTACCCTTCTGATCCCAGAATGCCTCATTCCAACCTACCTCACGTTCAGCAGTATATGCCCTCGTACATGAACAACCCCACCCACTTCCCCTTCCCGTACCCGCCTCACCCAGGCTCCCCCAAACCCAGCCACACTCCTCTGTCCCGTATGCACAGCAGTGCGTCATACTCCCTCTCGTCCACTGCATCCAGCCCGGGCTCCCCCAGCCCACACACCTCAGACGTCTCAAGTCCCGTTTCCGACGTCAACCTTTTGTCTCCGGCTCACGCACAGGCCATGTGGCCACCTCACAGTCAGCCTCTGTTTTCCCTGGCTAATGTGCTGTCTATGGCAATGAGCATGGCACATTCCTTCATGCCCTCACCGAACATGGTTCAGGCCATGCCGGGTTTCCAGCCTGGTTATCCCACGATGTATGCGCCCCAGTATCCTCAATCTCCAGGGATGGCCGAGTATTACCAGAACATGGAATCTCAGTTTCGAGACAGTGTGATGTCGCCACCTTCCCAAACGTTTCCAACATCTACTTCACCCAGTGGTGTTTCCATGTCCGCCCAGCAGACAGCGTTTCAAGAGGGAATGCTGTATGCACAGGAATCCTCTAAGGAATATCCTCACGGACACAGACCCGCTTTCCCCAGGCACTTACTAGAGCAGCGGAGCAGCCCCGGGTCTTCATCTGGACTGTCGTCTTCCCCACGAGCGAGCCCAGATAGCAGAGTAAGCCATTCCCCTCTTCACCAGTTAACCAATTAAAGAGGTCCAGTCAGTACAATTCATTTAAATAACACTGAAATTGTGATATGGCATAGTGCAATTATCTAATAGCGAAGGTAGTGATTCAAATGATATATATATATATATATATACTGTGTATATATACAGTATCTCACAAAATTTTAGTATATCTTCCCAAGGAACAATAATATAGAAATGCAACTTGGATATATTTTAGAGCAGTGTTGTAGTCGAGTCACCAACTGTCGAGTCCGAGTCGAGTCTCGAGTCCCAGTGTTCGAGTCCGAGTCCCAGTCCGAGTCACCAAAGAAGAGTCCGAGTCGAGTCCAATTCGAGTCACCATTACCTGAGTTCAAGTCCGAGTCGAGTCTCGAGTCCCGTGTTCGAGTCCGAGTCGAAATTATATACACTTAAGCCAAATCAAGCAACATTTTTCAGGCACTCTTTCTTGCAGCTAGAAATGTGTATGATAGCCTATCTCACTAGAATTGCCTTTGACCTTATCAAATCATTGTCAACTACCTGTGGCACGATTATATTTATTTAATTGTTTAAATACATTTTTGGATGATCAGTCAACTGGAATGGATAAAGAAAACAAAAAAGAAAGCCTAATTGGACAGAGGAGGAGAAATGCATTCTTCTTGACGAATATGGTAAAAGAAAAACAATTTTGAAATTTTGAAAAGCAAACTAAATCCCAATGTAACTGTGGCAAAAAAACCCCCAGAAAATGCAGTGCTATAAGCAGTTGTAACTCTGCAGGAAAAGAGTGGTTGCGATGTGTGACATAGTCAAGGTCGCCGTCTAGTTTGTTAGCTAAAATAAACATAATTGTGTTATTGTATGATAAGCGGGATTAAGCGCTGAGCGCGTCCGAATTTGGCTCAGCGCCAGCCATAGCACGAAAGCACAGTTTAAATCTGGCACATGTCACGTCACTGTACGTTCGCTCCTTAGTGGTCAGCCCAGCTGCTGCAAAGTGTGCCAAAATCGAAATTGCTGATTAGATGTAGAGGAACTTATCTAGTGTTAAATGAGTGTTGCGTTATCTCTCTCACGAGAATGCGGCGTAAAGTGAGTGACGTCAGTGAGTGTGTTGTCAAGCAAGGAGAGCGAGCGGCAGCAGTGTCTGTGAGGGAAAAAATAGATCACGGCCGGTCTTGGACCCCGAAACAGGAAAAGTGTAACATCTTATATCAAATTTTTATAACCTATTTAGTCAGAAACAACGTCATTCATTTGATGAATGCTCAAGTCCGATTTTATATTCTCGAGTCCGAGTCCAAGTATAGTCATCAGTCCGCGAGTCCAAGTCGAGTCACGAGTCCAGGGCATGGAGTCTCGAGTCGGACTCGAGTCCAGAGAATAAGGACTCGAGTCCGAGTCCAGGACTCGAGTACTCCATCACTGTTTTAGAGTAGTCAATGTGCTGCTTGTATAGCAGAGTATATGTTCACTGTCCTCTGAAAATAACTCAACATACAGCCATTATTGTCAAAATAGCTGGCAACAAAAGTGAGTACACCCTAAGTGAACATGTCAAAACTGTGTCCAAAGTGTGAATATTTTGTGTGAGCACCATTGTTATCTAGCACTGCCTTAATCCTCCTAGGCATGGAGTTCACCGGAGCTGCACAGGGTGTTGCTGGGATCCTCTTCCACTCCTCCAAAATGACATCCCCGAGCTGCTGGATGTTAGACACATGGCGCCTCTCCACCTTCCGCTTGAGGACGCCCCACAGGTGCTCAATAGGGTTCAGGTCTGGAGACACACTTGGCCACTCCATCAGCTTCACCTTCAGCTTCCTCAGCAAGGCAGTCGTCATCTTGGCGGTGTGTTTGGGGTCGTTATCATGCTGTTCGGCCCAGTTTCTGAAGGGAGGGCATCATTTTTCTGCGTCAGAATGTCACAGTACATGTTGGAATCCATGTTTTCCTCAATGTAGCGCAGCTCCCCAGTACCAGCAGCACTCGTTCAGCCCCAGACCATGATGCTACCACCACCATGCTCTCGACTGTAGGCACGACACAAATTTATTGGTACACCTCACCAGGGCATCGCCGCAAATGCTGGACACCGTCTGAGCCAAACAAGTTCATCTTAGTCTCATCAGGGCACAGGACATGGTTCCAGTAATTCATGCTCTTGGACAGGTTGTCTTCAGCAAACTGTTTGCGGGCTTTCTTGTGAGCCAGCTTCAGAAGAGGCTTCCTTCTGGGACGACGGCCATGCTAACCGACTTGTTGCAGTGTGCGGCGTATGGTCTGAGCACTGACAAGCTGGCCGCTTCTGTAACCTCTAAAGCAACGCTGGCAGGACTCATGTGTCTGTTTTTTTTTAAGCCAGCTTCTGCATCTGACGCACAGCACGAGGACTCAACTTCTTTGATTGACCCTTGCGAGGCCTGTTCCAAGTGGAACCCGTCTGGGAAAGCCTCTGTATGACCCTGGCCTGTACTGTAACTCAGTTTCAGGGTGTTACCAATCTTCTTATAGCCTAGGCACACTTTGTCGACAGCAACAATTCTAATTCTCAAATCCTTAGAGTTCTTTGCACTGAGATGCCATGTTGAACATCCAGTGGTCAGTATGAGAGAATTGTACTCAAAGCACAAATTGTAACTGTTCTAAATACAAGATACACACATTTGTATGGTCCTGTCAAGCAGACAAAAACATGAATATGATGAATAGGACGTGTCTTTGTATGGTTAAACGACGTACAGCTATTATCACTTAGGGTGTATTCACTTTTGTTGCCAGCTATTTTGACAATAATTGCTGAAATGTGAGGGGTGTACTCACTTTCGTGAGATACTGTCTATATATAGAGAAACATAACATGCACCAACCATCTACTTGTAATGAGAGGTGCTTATAAACTGGCTTTTGTCAACTAAAGAAAAGGGCTCCCAGTGGTTTTTAGAGGAAATTAAGACATATACAAATAATAAATAAAATAAATATATTATAAATATGTTATTATAAATATACATTTTTTTTCATAGCCAAATTAGCCATATTGATACATAATCACACGTTTTGGCCAAATTGTGCAGCCCTACAAACAAGCACAGCAAAATGGAGCTTGTTTTAATCACCGTTTAATTTTTATCAGAAAAACATATTTTTTCACTATTGCAGTTTTATCAGAAAAAAATATTTTTTCCTTCCCAGCAACATTCTGATCACATACATAATACATAATTTTTAACACATCTTATAATAAATAATTTACATATTTATTATTTTAATTGAATACATAACATAATTTATTGCATTTATTTAAAATGCAATTTATTTAATTATATAAGTACTAAAAAAGTAAAATAATCACTTTCTTAATTTCAAATATTATTCAATTAATAATACAACTATAATTGTATTAAATATAAATAAGCATATGTATAGTGTTATAAATATATATGTGTTTATATATGATAAATAATTCACGGCCTGGGTGGAACTGGAACTAATGATGGGTCCAGATCTGGATCATGATCATGCACATTGGTGACCTCTGCTCTTAACATTGAGTAACAGTTTCACTTTTCTGTGTTATGACAGTATTTGTTTCCATAGTGTTGGCAGTTGTTCTGAGCACGTTTTATATCACTGAATGTCAATAGCTAACATTGCTAATGTACCTTTAAATGTGTATGAAACCCAGATGTGGAAGTATTCCTGAATGAAACAGTATTTCTCTCCAAGGTGTCGTCATCCAGTCCCAGATCATTGTCTCCTCTGGTCTCAGGAGAGAGTAGCAGAACTTCACTGTGCCAAGAAATCTCTTTACCATCTGGTAAGATACTGAGCCCTGAACATAAACACACGTAACACACTACCTGGTACACACAGGGCTTTCTTCTTACTGAATGTGGTTTTATCATTTTGCAGTACTAAATGCATGGTTATATGGTCTTGCACTCACAGAGGGTTTGTGGACACCTATTAAATATGCCTGTGGAGTTCTTGCGCAACCAAAGTGTTTTTTTTTTTGTTTCTTGGTCCACAGCTTTTATGGGTTCCTAAAACCGCAGCTATTTTGGCTGTGTTCGGAATGGAATATAAACATAATACTTCCTGAATATTACAGTATACAGTAAATACTGTCATGAATTTAAAAAAGGAAAATGTGAAACAACGCTAGACACTTTGAATAGTATTATGCTGCATTGTGTCACATGAAGTAAATATTATTGTGCAATTTAATCCAAATTTATATAAAATATTTTAACTCTTGGCAGTCAATGACAAACTAATGAGTCAAAATCTGTTTACATTAAATTGTTTCTGGCTGATATTCTGGTTCATTAGTTTGTACCGTATGTAAACTATACTGTTCATAGTATGCACATTTAGATACATAGAGTTTGATGACCTACTACATTTGACAAATTGAGCAGTATGTAGCCAAGCCACACTGCAGAATACTGTATCCCACAATGCAATGCTCTCGACTGGGTCTTTAATTTCCTGTTTGACAAAATATTACAGCTGTAATCTCTTTCTTTGACTCATTATTGGACATTTTTACACAAAATTGAAACTAACCTTCAGGGGGCAAACTGGTGTGTGATAACCAAAAAAAACGAAAAAAAAAAAAAACTTATTTATGAACTAATGTACTATATTCTGTTTCCATAATATTTATTCTGTAATATTATGTGACATTATTATATTATAATATTTTGTAATATTTCATGACACTAGACAATATTCACCTCTAAATTATGCTAATTAAGTAATCCAAATATTGTAAAAAAAATATATATATATATCTTATTACAAGTCAAAATTAAAAGAATGAAATCTTAATTCTATATTAAATCTTAAATCTATATTAAGACATCATCAAAGACTACTTTATCATGGCTAATTTGTAGATACCGATTGTATTTCCGATTCATTTGGTAACTGACCATTTTTAAGACCATTTTTGCGTTCATATAGAAAGTGCCACAAAAGTCAACAGATTTTCGACATTCCGATGAAGTAAAACAATAAAAAAATTCAAAATGAAACATTTTTTTCAGTCTAAAATTACCAAAGACCATCAGAGGATTAAAAAGACATTATTTTCCTGATGATAACTCGAATGTAATGTGATTATGAGGTCAAGTGGCATAATTCTGCTAACATCATCATGCTTGAGAGAATATACACCTTTTCTATTACTCCGTCTTTCTTACAGAGCCGAAGTCGACTGTGACTGTGGGCCGCTTTCAAGTGTCCCCCAGTAAAGAGATTCCTGCTCCCGCCAGACACACAGAGACTCAAACTCCAGCCAGTGAACCTCCTCCACCTGTCGTCCCTCGGGATCAGCCTGCGTGCTCGTTTCTAGCTCCAAATCCAGCGAAAAACCTGTCCGTTCCTCCTTCCTGTGAGGCTCGGCGTGATTTGAGTCCTGCCGGCCAGCCTGAGACGGGGAGAAATGGAAAAGGGGGACAGATTGATGAGCAAGAGGAGGATAATGATGATGATGATCGTGATAAGAAGCACATGAGGAAGAAGGGGCGCAGGGTGGATTGTGGGCCGGGTCTGATGGGAACGTCGGTGGACAGTGGTTTTTCGGTGGCTCTGGACACAGGCGGGAGAGCGTGGGATGGAAACACGACCAGTCCTCCGTATGCCACTCCTCTCCACAACCTGTGGATGAGCTACACGCGAAGCTCCTCCTACCTGAGCAGCGACGAATCAGAGAGCGAGGATGAAGAGATGTGGGGGGAGCTACAGGAGCTGAGGGAGAAGTAAGGCACTTTCAAACTTCTGTGTTTTATTGTATTTCTCTCAGGGCTGTGCGATTCATCGAATTTTAGTTTCGATTTTGGCTTCCAAGGATTATTAAAACACCATAATCGAGATTATTGTGCTGCATTCAGTTTCTTTCCTTTTAAAGCAGTGTGCTTTCACCGCTCCGTAAAAACCCAAACATAACGTCCAAATCAGTCAAATCATATTCTGTTACTGCCGTAATATGCAGTTGGGTTGTGATTGATATTAAAACGAGTTCATAATGCATATAGTCTAATATACTGTACCTGCTGATGTCTGTTCTTCATATTAATCAAACAACGTAAGAATAAGAAAACACTCACTGCCCTTGACTGAATAACGTTAGTAGTAATACTTTAGAATAAAGTAGTAGAGACTCTGCAGTGTTTTATTTTTTACATTTTATTTATTAAATTTGTTTAAAGTAGACATAATTCTATACTTTTAGAAAGCATTGTTTATTTCATTCGTATCTATTTTCTGTTGTAGTTGTCCTATTTTTGGTCATTTCTTTTCTTTTTCTATTGTATTACTGAATATTGTATTACTTTGTTCAATAATTGTTTGAGGACATTTTTTACATACATTAGTTAGTGTTCATTTCTGCTTGTGAGATTTCACTGGTATCTAAAATTTGTATATTATAGCAACCTTATTTCCAGCAAAGTATACTTGATATATACAGTATGTATATATGTGTGTAAAGGTATTCATAATGTAAGTTATAATGCATTATATCTTTTCATAAACAATTGTAACCAAAGTTTAAATGCATTATAATATTTGCAAATTTCTTGTTATATCTGAAATTGGTTGTTTGTTGTGTTTTAATGCGTTATACTTTCGAAATATGTAACAAAAGTATTATAATGTGTTATAAATGTGGTTAGAATTATTCATGAGATCATACAATGCACTATAAGGTGCATTACAAGGCATAATTAATGCACTAAATACTTTTATAATGCATTTTATATAAAGGCTTTAAGTAAAGTGTTACCGGATACTTTGCTGGAAGTAATTCACTATCATGAAAAAAATGACTATAGGTTTATAAAAGAGTTTGGTCAAAACACCCACTCATAATCGTGTAAAATAATCATGATTACAGTGCTGACTGAAAATAACCGTGATTATGATGTTATTCCCTAATTCCTGTCTCTCTCTCTCTCTCCCGCTCAGGCATCTGTGTGAGGTTCAGTCTCTCCAGGCACTGCAGAAGCGAGAGATAGAGGAGCTGTACTGTAAGATGGGGAAGATTCCTCCTCCCTGTATAGTGTCTCCAGCAGTCATGCTCTCCAGCCGCCAGCGCCGCATGTCTAAAGGAGGAAACTTCCCATCGTCCCGGAGAAACAGCCTCCAGAGACTCGACATTCTGCCTTTAGCAGGTTCAGCTGTTTTAGCCTTTTATATATGCAGATTTGAACCATAAGCATTACACTCACCTAAAGGATTATTAGGAACACCATACTAATACTGTGTTTGACCCCCTTTCGCCTTCAGAACTGCCTTAATTCTACGTGGCATTGATTCAACAAGGTGCTGAAAGCATTCTTTAAAAATGTTGGCCCATATTGATAGGATAGCATCTTGCAGTTGATGGAGATTTGTGGGATGCACATCCAGGGCACGAAGCTCCCGTTCCACCACATCCCAAAGATGCTCTATTGGGTTGAGATCTGGTGACTGTGGGGGCCATTTTAGTACAGTGAACTCATTGTCATGTTCAAGAAAGCAATTTGAAATGATTCTAGCTTTGTGACATGGTGCATTATCCTGCTGGAGTTAGCCATCAGAGGATGGGGACATGGTGGCCATGAAGGGATGGACATGGTCAGAAACAATGCTCAGATAGGCCGTGGCATTTAAACGATGCCCAATTGGCACTAAGGGGCCTAAAGTGTGCCAAGAAAACATCCCCCACACCATTACACCACCACCACCAGCCTGCACAGTGGTAACAAGGCATGATGGATCCATGTTCTCATTCTGTTTACGCCAAATTCTGACTCTACCATCTGAATGTCTCAACAGAAATCGAGACTCATCAGACCAGGCAATATTTTTCCAGTCTTCAACTGTCCAATTTTGGTGAGCTCTTGCAAACTGTAGCCTCTTTTTCCTATTTGTAGTGGAGATGAGTGGTACCCGGTGGGGTCTTCTGCTGTTGTAGCCCATCCGCCTCAAGGTTGTGCGTGTTGTGGCTTCACAAATGCTTTGCTGCATACCTCGGTTGTAACGAGTGGTTATTTCAGTCAAAGTTGCTCTTCTATCAGCTTGAATCAGTCGGCCCATTCTCCTCTGACCTCTAGCATCAACAAGGCATTTTCGCCCACAGGACTGCCGCATACTGGATGTTTTCCCCTTTTCACACCATTCTTTGTAAACCCTAGAAATGGTTGTGCGTGAAAATCCCAGTAACTGAGCAGATTGTGAAATACTCAGACCGGCCCGTCTGGCACCAACAACCATGCCACGCTCAAAATTGCTTAAATCACCTTTCTTTCCCATTCTGACATTCAGTTTGGAGTTCAGGAGATTGTCTTGACCAGGACCACACCCCTAAATGCATTGAAGCAACTGCCATGTGATTGGTTGATTAGATAATTGCATTAATGAGAAATTGAACAGGTGTTCCTAATAATCCTTTAGGTGAGTGTATAGTAAAACTTTTCCAAAACCCAGTGGTCTGCCTTGCTGTTTGCCCCCTACACAGGCAGCTGCCTTTTAAGGAAGCGTTCCTACTGAGATAGCAGCATATAACTGACGCTCTACACAGTTCAGAGTTTCTAGTTCACCAGCACTGCAATACTCTAATAAGCATAAAATGACAACATCACACAGATATTATGGGTGAAATACAACACTTTTTAAGTATTTTTCATTTTTAGTTTATGTTAACAAATGTAACTTTATTGTAAAGTAGTTTTTAATCAATATTTTTGGTATTGAATGTATTGTTTAAAATCATATTTCATATCTCTCTCTGATTAATAAGTGCTTTAGTTCTTGTTAACTAATGTAGTTAACTAACAACTATTGTAAAGTGTTATCTAGTCTATTAAAATACGTTTTGTTGTTGAATAAATTATGGGATTTCCTTCCCTGCAAAGATTCAGCAAAAAGAAAGTATCTTAGTACACATCTCTTGTGCCTATGCTGTCTTCATAGACAGCGCACGAGCTTTTAGTACACAGCCGTATTAGTGCTTTTAACTGGGGCTGAATAAGCAATTGTTTAATTAAACGAAACCTGTAAATGAGCAAATGAAATGTTGAACATCTTGCTGTGCTGTGATTGGCCCACAGGGATCATGAGGAAGAGCTCCCTGAGCGGCAACAGTAGCAGCAGTTCCCAGGAGGATTCCCGGCCGGCTAAAGGAGTGACGTTCGCTGCTGATTTCACTAGAATGGTATGATGCATTACATTCAGCACAGGGCTTAATGAGTGTGAAGCATGTTTATTTATATAGCACATTTCATACACTATGGTAATTCAAAGTGCTTTACACAGAAAGGAATTTAAAATAATCACACAATAAAAGCAAGGAACATTAAAACAGTTCTAAAAGGAATTAAAAGACATATAAAGATGATACAGTTATAAAAGGAATTAAAAGAGTAAAATGATACATAGATAATGTTCTCATCGAGCAAAACACCGGTGTATCATATTTTCCACAACTCCCAGTTTTACTGTGAGATTTTCTCATGGTGATTACAGTGTGTGTGTGTGTGTGTCTGTGTGGTGTTCTTTCGGCACGGCGATGAAATCTATCGGACGTTGGACACGATGGACCTGATTTTTCCCTAAAATCCGACAGGAGGAGCTCTAATGGAGTGGGGATTTAATGGAATAAACATTCCTGCATTTCTGGTTTACACAGTGTTGACTCTATTTAGACAAACATAAAAGAAAAATGTAATTTCAATATAAAATGAAATAAAATACAACATACATTTTATTTAAATTTAATAGCATTTAAAATATCCTTCAAACTTTTTTGGACAGTAATATACATTTGCAACATTCATTTTCCTTCGCAAATAGCGCTGTCATTTGTGAACATTTTAATAATATTGAATATAAATCCTAGATTTTTGCTAAAGAGGTGCTATCATTTCAACCTGATCACATTTTTTACCAAGTAGATTCAAGATTGTTAGAATTGATTAAGACATGTTTGTCTTTCACTAAATTGTTATCATGTATATGCACCAATATAACAATGCATTATTTACCTATACACATATTCACTAAAACATGACAAATACTTCAAGGCGTCAATTAAAAACAGGCAGTTTCACAGAAATGGATTAAACTTACCAACTTTAATAGCATTTCTGGTATTGATGTAGAAACATATCTGTCTTAACGCTTAATTAGTTATTAGTTAACAATTTCAACAGCAAAACCATATATTGTGGATATTCAATATATCGCCCAGGATTAATTAGTCTCACGTAATCTTACGATACGATACTTAAGGCAAGACACTACAGGCAAAAACAGTGTTTTTTCATGCATCTGTCAATTTTGAGATTCTTGGCTTTTCATAAAGTGTTTTTTCAGGTGATATTTATTAGTTGTTTTTTTTACCCTATTCACCGGGGGTGTCTCGCCTTAAAGCTGAACCCAAGAAACACTGATAGGATATTCTTTCCATGCATTCGCATCTGAATAACGTTTCTCTTTTCTGTTTTCCCATCAGTGAGAATCCTGGTACATTGGCGGCACTATATCCGACTACCTCATCCATCTGTGACTGACATGAGGGATGTTTCTAGTGCATTGCACTAACCGGTCCGCTCATCTCTGTGAAGAGCCGAGGGTTTGGCGGGACTCTGCTGTGCGTCTCTCTGAAGGCTCAGCACTGATGATGATTCCTAACTCTCTCTTTTGCACTTTTCTGAAACCTGCTGAACGGGCAAACATCTGAGTCAACAGATGCCCTGCTGTTTCTGTTCTGCTGCTTGTGTTCGCGCTGTAGAAACACCAGATCATCACGCAAGAATCGCAGCAGTCTCCGTGAACTCAGTAGATCCGGTCCAGAGATATTTCTGCTATCCCCTGATAGGGTCTGCTTTATGATAATAGTTTAAATGTGAATAAAAATAAATCAAAACCGATTGAGGGTGGGTGGGCTAAATATATATTTTTCCATTGGTTGTTCCAGCTTTGAGATGCTCGTCTATTGGGATGCAGAACGTCTTTACCTTGAAGTTTTTGTACATTTACTTATATATTTGACTTTTACCAGTCTGAGTATGACTGACTTAATAATTGCACCAAAAATCAAAGCAAGTGTCAGCCATAAAGTGTAAATGATATGCACACTGCACTTTGGCTTAAGTTTCAGTCCCATCTAGGACTGTACAATAGAGTCATGAATAAATGATTGATTTTTGATGTTTACAAAGAACAGTCAATAAAAGTGCATTCATTATCTTCATTGTAATATTAACAGTTTGTTCAGATTTTTCACATTGAGCCCAAAGTTTCTACATTTATGCTTTCTGTAGTCTTAGCGTTTAAACATTATGTACAATATTTGGTTGTTTTTTGTCTAACTTATGAGACACATCTACTTGCATGATGTAAAGAGGAATTCTGAATATAAACGTTCAGGAATAGCTAATTTTATGATGTATAAATATAAACACTTAGTTTCATACTTTCGGGTGGATTTCTGTCATTATTGTATTGCACTTTTTCAGTTTCAAACACATGCCCGCAAAATATTTAATATGACAACCCAAGAACATCCATTCATGGCTCATTCAAAACTGTGAAAAATCATATGAATGCCTTTATATGTGCTTCAAAATCAGCAAATCAGTGACAGACACAAACACAGACAATGTGTTTTAGATTGAGATAAATGTGACTTCATGCTCTGTTATATAGATCGCTTCAATGTGCAATGCAACTCTGCCATGCTGTGCCTTCTCTATCTTATGATGATGATTATTATATTCTAAATCATATTTGTACATTTAAAGTCAATAAATAGCTATAAAAAGATGAATGTTGGTCGAGTATTGATTTTAAACACAGCAGTATTATTTAGGACACATTATGTTTATTTAAAAAACAAAACAAAAGGGTGGCTATTATTTCAATGAATCTCACTGTGATTATGAATGTATTTACACTCAAAGAAAGATGACTAGTAGAATTACTGTAGAATTCATAGTATAAGGAATATTATGACATTCAGTTTCCACGAACACGAATAGAAATGATGAACTACTGTCTTGACAAACGAAGGATTCCATTTCCTCGTCGTCGAGTCTCGTGTCCAACAGGATACAGTGATTTGATTGGATGTGGCGCCCTCTGCCGGCGCGCGCGCTCAGTCGCGCGCATCTGTGTGCGTGAGACAGTTCCCGAAGAGTCACTTCACTCAGTTCGCTCCGGTCTTTGGAGCTCGTGCTTTTGCTTCTTCATCGATTTCATCCATGATTTTTTCTTGGGATACTGAGTAGAAGGTGTATCCATCTGAGGACGGCCGGTGAAGGGAAATATCACACACAGATCTGGAGAGTTCATACTGGAATGACGTGACAATTGTATTCATATTTATAGTGCTGTCAAATCGATTAATTGTGATTAATCACATCTAATATAAAAGTTGTTGTTTACATAATATATATGTGTGTGTGTGTATACATATATATTAAATTATATGTCTATATATATTATGTGTGTGTGTATACAGTATTGGCCAAAAGTTAGGAAATATTACAATTTTGTATGTTTTTGAAAGAAGTCTCTTCTTTTGCTTTTATTTTATCAAAAACACAGAAAAACTGTAATACTGTGATATATTATTACAATTTAAAAGAATGGTTTTCTATTTTAATATACTTTATAATTTCAGCATCATTACTCCAGTCTTCAGTGTCACATGATTATTTATTATTTTTTTATTCAATTTATTTTTATTCAAAAATAATTCTAATATGATGATTTTATACTCAGTTATTATCAATATTGGAAACAATTGTTCTGCTTAATATTTTCTGGAACCTGTGATCAGGGGCGCCGCCAGCAATTTTGGGCCCTATAAAAAAAAGAATATGAGGTTGGGCCCCTACCGCACATATTGCATTAATAAAATCGGTCTCTGGGACCCTTAGAATCGTTCTAACTTTCACCCCCTTAGCGGGCCCCCTGCCTGTGATACTTTTTTTTGGATTCATTGATGAATAAAAAGTTAAAAAGAACAGCATTTATTCAAAATAGAAATCTTGTATAACAATATAAATATTCACTATCACTTTTTATTCATTTAAAACATCATTGCTGAATAAAAGTATTCATTTCTTTAAAAAAAAAAAGAGAAAAAATGACTGACTCCAAACTTTTGAACAGTATAGTGTATATTGTTACAAAAGATTTCTATTTTAAATAAATGCTGTTCTTTTCTTCTTTTTTATTTTTTATTCATCAAAGTATCCTGAAAAAAGTTTCAGATGTTATAAAAAAAAAATTAAGCAACATCACCTGTTTCCAACATTGATAATAAATCAGCATATTAGAATGATTTCTGAAGGATCATGTGACACTGAAGACTGAAAATTCAGCTTCGATCACAAGAATAAATGATATTTTAAAGTATATTCAAATAGAAAACCATTATTTTAAATTGTAATGATATTTCACAATATTACTGTTTTTTTTGCAGCCTTGATGAGCGAAAGAGACTTACATGTACACATGTACACACGTACACACACACACACACACACATACATATATATCTATACACACATACATATATCTGTGTGTGTGTGTATATAAATGTGTGTGTACAGTATATATTTTTATACACACTTTTATGTTAGATGCATTAATCGATTTGACAGCACTAATTCATATTTTAGTTTTATACTTTATATAGGCCCTTCACAGTATACGATCTACAAATCAGCCACGATGCAGAAAATAAGCATTTAGATTTTATTAAATTGTATGATTGAATAAAGATTAACAAAATGCTTTCACTTTCCTTTGCTATAGGTTTTAACTTAAATACTGCATTAATTGAAAAATAGTATAAAATAACTTTTCTATTATTTTAATTATTTTAAAAGAAAAAACATGTTGCATAATTTAGAGGTAGCCTTAATATTGTTTAGTACTATGAAATCGACACAAAATACAAACTATTAAAATGAAAGTATAATAGAAAACAAGTAAACAATCCAAAAAAAATATGATCCATAAGTTATGACAATATATGTTTTTACATTGCTTTAATAAGTTAAGCAATTTCTAACTTTAAGTAAAACAAAATTCAACTAATTAAGTCAATTTAATTGTAGTTTAAGTTGAAACGACTTAGCTTAGGTGATTATACTTTAAAAAAAATAAAGCAGCAACTTTTTTTTTTACAGTGATATTAATTTAATTTTAAAAAAGGTGTTCGGTCTGTTTCGACTGCTGAAAGAGCACAAGGGTATCTCGTAAGTTAATAACAGCCCCAGAAGATTAATAACATATTCAAGTGTCTGACTGATCATGTAACGAATTTGATGAAGCATTTCTCATCATGACATCAGCACTTATGTTACATTGGTTGATCATGTAATAATGCACCCACGTGTAGTAATCTAAGACCTAATATTACTATCATTCATTATAGGCTACCAATATAATCAGCCAGCTCATCTGATAGATGTAACGCACTGTATCAGCCTGTCACTGACATAACCTTGTGTAACAGAGTTGTAAAGGATACAGATGCCGAGCACTACCGCGCCGATGGCGAGTCCTGTCGCAACGTTTCGGCCCCGGAGCTGGCCCGCTTTCTTCTTCCATTGCGCCAGCTCCACTTGTCGGATGAACTGCAACTGTTCCCTCGTCAGCTCTTCCTTTGCAGGGTATATTCTCTTTGCAAACTGGGCTTCAGGTTTGAGGTCCCCTTGACTACTCTTGTCTGCCATGTTTGAAGCGCTGTATTGTGACGTAGCGCGAGGTTACTGTACACGTCAATGTTGCGCCTCTTTTGCGCAGCTCGCCTTGCCATTTCCCCCGCCCCCGCACACAAGTTCAGTTTGCGTAACAGTTTCGAACAGTTTAGGGAGGCTATAGTCATATTCGGTTGTGATCATAGACTGTAAAATGTTATGATCTTAAAAAAAAAAAAAAAAAAAATAGGCTAAACCTTTTCAAATAACAAACAGGCATTATCATTGCAATGCAAGGGAATGCTAGGGGCTAATAAAAGTAAAATAATAATAAAATTATAAGTTTTAAATAAGTTAATTAATTAATCTGTGGCATCTGAAAGATTGTTGGCTGTTACCGTTGCTTTATAAATAATATAGGCCTATCTAAAAATAAACTTAGCCTACTTCTCGGGTTCCGGAAGTAAAATCATTTTCTCCACAGGGAAATTAGATTTTTAACAATAACTTATAAACCTTTAAAGAGAGACCTACTCTGAGCAACGAGGTTGTTAATTGGTAGTATTTGCTTCTGTTGAAGTCGTCAGCCCGCATTATTTCTACTTAGTTTTAAAAATAATCATGTTTAACATCTGAATTCGTTGTGAAAAACTACATTACCCATGATGCTGTACAGAAAATTCCACCAACCAGAGTCAACAAGCAAAATGTGCTAAAGGAGCTCTTTAGTCACGGCCACTCTTATGATCAGTGTTTTTTAAGCTTCTTTTAGCATTTTTATTATTTAGTCACTGTATTTTACAATAACTTCATTTAAATAATTACATTTATTTAAATATTTTTTTCATTCATCTTGCCCCATTTTTTGTAAACCACCTAGTCCATGAACAGGCACATGTGTAGATCATAGGTGTAGATGCATAATACGTATTAATTACTTTAGTGAATGTAGTTTTGTTACATGTATTGTATTCTTGCATATTGTATTTGGGCCTTTATAGAACCACAGCCCTGGAAGAAATTTATTTAGAAGAAAACGTTGTCCAGGCCACTTTTAAAACAACACGTTGATGGCGTTGTCACGTGGATCATGATAGTTTTCTCAACGCTATCAGAACCACCAAAGAACGGACAAATCACACAGTCGTTATGGTAATTGATTAAGGAATTTCGAAAAGAAACAAACAAACAATGATTTTATTAAAATCCCTTTCTAATATTTATATTCGTGTGTCTGTTATAAAATCTCAAAATTATAGGTTTAAATAATTTTATTTTGGTATATGAATATATAAATTATGACAAATTTGGCTCTCTCGGTTAAAGCGCGCCACTTGGTGGAAATCGATGTGTTGTATTGTGTGTTGTGTGTCTAAAAAAAATCTTTACGAACAAATGGCGCCAACTACTAACGTTATGAGCTCGCCCACAAAGGAACAGAGAAACCTGAGATTTGGATTGGTGTCGTTTGACATTTTAACCGACATTCTGTCCAACCTAAACAAGAGAAACAAATCCAACTTGGAGAATGTGCCAGATCTCTGTGGATGTCTCAAAGAAAGGAGAATAGTGGGTGAGTGCGTTGGCCTCAAACTAGCACACTGGTTTCAGACACTGACTATAAAGTATTGTAGGGGTAACGTTACCACGGTAGAGTATCAGTTGACAATAATACCATGATGCACACTGTAATATGTTAGTGAATTATTAACATATTTATAAACAATGTTCTTAACGTGATTCAGTAGTCTACCGATATAGCTAAGCTGCCTAACGTAATATCTTTTAATTGTCCGATAAGTGTTCTTATCAAATAATTGCCGGAAGAGGGACTTTTATTTTGCTGCCGCTTGGAATCGAAACTCATCAAAGTTACGGAATTTTAGAGATATGTGTTCATTTAGCAACACAGCCCTTTTTCATTAAGAGGGTTATTGATTCTGTATAAATAAAAATATGAGCAGGTTTTTTCTAAGTAGGCTATAGTTAAATAATTTACAAAGTAGATGTCAGATTTAAGATATCAATTAAAAGTATTTAATGCAATAATTTTGACATTTACAAAATTCAAAATTTGTAAAGACTGTCTAAAATCGCAAAATCTTAAATTAATTAAAATTTCCATTGTTTTTAACAGAAATAAATAAATTTGCAAGTAATTATGAGAAAAATCAAACAAATACGCTCGAGCTTACATAAAAGCATAGATATTAACAGCCATGTTCCTAATAGTATTGCAATATAACGCCATATCCAAAACATTGTACTATTACATTGATAGTTTTTTGTTCACCCTCATCTATTCGGTCCACAGAGTGTGTATTTCGTCTTTGTGAGGAGCTGGGACTGAACCCTGTAGTTGGATATCAGGCCATCGAAATACTGGAGAGGTAATTTAAAGAATCTCGAATGAACATTTTTCATAATAAATATGTTTAAAACGCCTTCACTTTGCCCTGCTCTAGGTTCACGGCCAAATATATTGAAGATCTAATCCACAGCAGCCAGAAAGGTCAGCCGATGCAAGGTTCTTCATCTGAGAGCTACGAGGATCTCATCTTCCAAACACTCAAGAAGAAGCTCTTTCTCTTCATCCTCTCGAGCGTTCAGATAGCTAGCAAACTGGACCTGTTCTCGAATGTATGTTCAGTTCATAAATTACAACAAACAAATATTCCATGTGTTATGTTGTGATTTGTTCTATTTGCATTAATTTAGGTGGTTAATAATGATATTGCAATGAGATTTCTGCAGGCAGTCAATTACCCTTCCTCCAAAGAGCAACTCTTGGACTCGGAGATTCTCATTTTAAAAACTCTCAACTTTAATTTGAATGTCCCAAATCCTGTAACGTACGTAGAGACCCTTTTGGAAGTGCTGGGTAAGATTATTTCCAGTGTTTTTCTCAGGTAGCAGCTATTAACTGAACTCAAATAGTCTAAAACACTGTGTTGTGTGCTCTCACACAGGCCATAACGATGCAACCGTCCCTGTGGCACAGCTGCATCGCCTGTGTGTGCATGTACTGCAGTTTATTTACCTGCAGAGGGAGACAATCTACACCTCATTGCTTATATCTGCCACCGGATGCCCCAGTCCTTCTGATGAGCAAAGGTACAGGCGATCTACTGAATTTTCTGCTGTTTCCCCAATCCCCACCCTATTGACTCTCTCTACTCTTAAAGGTAAAGTTTGGGATTTTTGTAGAGAAAACTATAAATTTGCCATTTTTATGGCATATTTCATGAAGCCAGTTTCAGGGACTATACCCAAGGTAAGTAAGTTTGAGTTTAGTTTGAGCAGTTTGATTATTTTTTAGCAGTGTTAAGGTGATGATACACATGGCAACTGTTGCTGGGCAATGTTGCCGTCAACGGGCAACCAGATGAGACACAGGGCCCACGACCGATCTAAATGATCCAGATAGAAACTTATTGCCCATTTTCAATGGGAAAGTGTCCAAGCAACAATCACTCGGCAAGATTGCCCAGCAACATTGCTTAAAAAGTTCCTCTATACTTAAGTATAGAGTAAGTATATACTCTATACTTACTCTATACGGCTGACTTGGTCATGAGCAGGTTTTATTCTGGGTTGGAGATCGCGAAGCAAAACTGGACCAATCAGCTTTGACTAAAGTGACACTAATCTGAGGCATTAAAGAAACCCTTTAGTTCACCTGAAAATGATTCTTCTGTCATTAATTACTCACCTTCATGTCGTTCCAAACCCGCAAGACTTTCGTTCATCTTCAGAACACAAATGAAGATCTTTTAATGAAATCTGAGAGCTTTTTGTCCCTCCATTGACAGCTACGCAACTACCACTTTGAAACTTCAAAAAGTTCACAAAGAGATCATTAAACTAATCCTTATGAATTTAGTGGTTTTGTCCAATTAATTCTGAAGAGACTCAATCGCTTTATATGATGAACAGTTTTCCATTACACGAGAGTAGAAGTTAAAACTTCATGCTGATTTGCAAGCGTCTCCATCCATTTACTCTTCCTTCCATATGGTGATGTGAATATCCTTCTGTTTGGTGTTAATGGCTGAAGTATATTCCCTGGCGCGTCAGCACACACACAGCGGCTGCGATGCTGGCTCCGGGGATCAACCACAGTGTGGTCTCCCCAGCGGATCAGCAAGACAACCGTCTGGATTGAGCCGAGTAGGGGACATCTCTAGGGTCTTCAAGTGGGCACCTTCTGTCCTCAGTGTTTCGTCGACTAGCCCACGACACCTCAAGAGGGCTCGAGTCGTCCCAGAGTCACCCCACTCCGTCCCCCACTCAACTCAGCCCAGCTTACTGACCTGTACATCAGTGTTTCTTTCTTTCTATTGTGCTTGAGATCCCTCCTGCTGCTGAGGTTGCTCCTTCCTCGTAGTTCAGTGGCATAAACCCTTGATGTGACCTTACCACAATCTCTAACTAGAGATGTTCCGATACCCTTTTTCCCTTCCCGATACCGATTCCGATACCTGGGTGTGTATCTATACAGCTGCAATTCATACTAGCCCTGTATGAATTGATAGAATTATTTGATGGTGTGCTTCAGACTTATCCCTTAATAAAACATGAACAAATACATACAGTGAACTAGAGTATTTTTATTATCTGACATACATTTCACAGCAATATATTATTTATCTTTCTTAAGTGAAAAAGAACTTAAAATGCAGCCACACATCGAATACTGTAAACTGAAAAAGGCTTTTTAGATTTACTATATAACTGTATAAAAAGTGCAAATAAATCTTGGAATCTAAAAAATGATATATGAATAATATAAGAAAATAACCTCTTTATAACTTAAAGGTTCTCTAAGCGATCCTGGGTGACGTCACTTCTTGTTGACGTTCGAACTATTGTCAAACAAAACGGAGGCTAGCTAGACCCTCCCTCCTCCTCATCCGCACACTAACCCCCCAAACCACACCCCCAAACCCTTCTTGTCGGTCATTGGCTGGAACAGTTTGTTATGTTTTGGGGAGCGGGTCGCTGCAGTTTGTTTTTGGTGCTGTTTGTGAAGCATGGGCTGTCTACAGAGATCGCGTTTCTTTACAGTGTGTTCAGGGGACAGGCAGCCAGCGGATAGTGAGGAGATGTTTGCTGTATGTGACAAAAAATGTTTTGGCCTAAAAAACACATGACATCGCTTAGAGCACCTTTAAAGTCCAGAAACAATTTTGTTAAATAAACGGCATTTCAGTTTTGACCGTGGCTGGTCATCCAGAACAATAAACTCAATACATGTTGTCGGTTATATTTATCGCTCGCTGGCTGTCTTTTGAAAACTTTTCTCTTCGTTTGAATGAAGCTTTCAGAGATTGATGATTCTGGCGCGGCTCATTCTTCTCTGCCCTTGCCATCGTGTTCTGCGGGGTGACGCGTCTTCAAATCCTTTATTACGTGTTGAAGCTGCTAATCTTGTGCCAGCCCTCGAAATTGCAGCATGGCATATTTCGTCGTTTTACATGGCTGGTTGGTCCAGTCTTAAATCCTGCCAAACAGCGGACATACTGCTAGCGTGCCTTTTCTTCTTCTTCACTTCCTGTGTCGCCACAAGCAACCACTGTTTAGAGCAGCGAAGAAGAATTGATCTCCGATTTGCAGCGTTAAGCAAAGCTATCGTGCATAACTAGATATGTTGTTTAAGAAAATGGTATCGGATCGGTACATGGGTAGTAGTACTCGCCGATACCAATGCCAGAATTTTTATTGGTATCGGCGGCATTTCCGATACTAGTATCGGAATCGGAACAACTCTATCTCTAACGCCACAATCTCTCCGCAACCCAACCATACGCGCCAACCCGTTTGACTAAGGCTGTCGAGCCCCACTGTCATTTTTAATGCAGGTTCAGTGGCAACGGCTCCATATGGCATACTACCTACCGCAAAACACAACAATACCTGTCCAAAACAAATACTCATTCACGCAAAATACAGTACACGGGATTGTAATAACTATGATAACTGCAAACTAGAACGTTTTTCAAGAATTCTTCTAAACCGTAGCGTGGCGGCCTGTACACAGCCAGCCAGAATCTTTCCGTCTCAACCACAGCCAGTTGCTGCTCCTTTCTGCTGCTTCAGATAAGTTCTTTACTGTGCGACGCAACTCTTGGCCACTGAATCCGACGTCTCTGAGGAACCGGGTTGTAGAGTGTGCCACAAAACCTCGACAACCCACTTCCACTGGATAAACCTGGACTCTCCATCCTCGCTGTTCTGCTTCAGTGGCCAGATGAGCATACCGCAGTTTCTTCCTCTCATATGCCTCATCTACCGCATCCTCCCATGGCACTGTTAACTCTATCAGTTGAACAATGCGTGCTGATCCAGACCACAAAACAATATCTGGTGGTAGGTTAGTGGTGGCAATCTCATTCTCAGGTGGAAAAATAAGCCGTTGATCAAGATCAGCCAGCATCTTCCAGTCCCTAGCAGCTTCCAGTTGTCCTGGGCGAGAATTGGTGTTAACACCTTTTCTTGGTGGTTGCTCGCCTGGGCGGAGGAATATTGTCTTCTGTGTGTAATGTGTTGCTAGAACAGGCGGCAACTTATTGGTCATACTACGCTTGCCTTCCAATGCTAAAGCCAAACATCGCAGTACTTGGTCATGGCGCCAAGTAAACCGACCTTGGCTAAGAGCCACCTTACATCCTGTCAAAATGTGCCTTAATGTGGCAGGTGATGAACACAAAGGACAAGAGGGATCCTCTCCTACCCAGAGGTTTAGGTTCTGCGGTGATGGGAGAACATCATATGTTGACCTGATAAGGAAACTGATCCTACTCTCTTCCATTGACCAAAGGTCTTTCCAGCCCATCTTGCTTGTTTCACACTCTCCCATCTCATCCATTCTCCCTGCCTGGCCTGGGAAATGGCCTTTATACACCTCATCCTCTCCTCCAGAAGCTAAACTGAGCCCAAAACCCCCTCTTCCATGCTGTACTTGCCCCACAATATCACCAATTTGAAGGGCAGCCTTTGCATCTTCCACAGCTTTCTTTGCTGACCACTTTCTTCCAGTTTTTAACACCTGGTCAGTCTGACCTTGGTGCACTTCTCGTTTAAAGCAGAGACTGGTAGCTGCAATATTCCTCAGCGAACATAAACAGCTAAATTAAACATTAATCAGCGAACATAAACAGAAGCTCAACTGAACCTGCTTGATGCGCAAGAACAAACCTCATTGGTTCTTGCGGAAGCTCAAACGTGCTGCGTAACACGAGAATGAACATCATTGGTTCTCGCACGTCAAGCGAACATGCTTGAGCTTCCATTTACCACAACTAATGTGGCCATTGATGATTTTTTATATGTGAATAAAAGGTTAAATTCAATCTTCAAGATGTTATTTGCAGTGATTTTTGCATTCATTTAATTAGGTATTTTATTTGATATTACTTAAACTTTTGTGGTAGCAGTTGTGTATTTTCTTGCCTTATAAATGTGTTAAATTAAATTCATATTATTCATAACAATATCTCCTTCACCAGAGAAGTGAATTGTGCCGACTCTCATGAAAAGTTAGTCAAACTGACGTGTGATTGGCTGTTCACTGCACATGTCACACTTTCAGGTGCATGTGCTTAATTTACCTCTGATTCAACCTGGCTGTGTCTGAAATCGCCCCTATGTCCTCAAATAGGGCACTACACGAGGGTACAGCCATTTGTAGTTGTGTCCGAAACCATGGTGGACATTATCAGGGGCACTCATTCAATTCCATAATAATATATAATAATAATATAATAATCTGCAATAACTGTACAACTGATGTACGCTCAACGCCTAGAGAATACCCATAATGCACTGTGAGGGTAACGCCAAATTAATTCCCATGCCAGAAGATGGCGCCCGCAGCCGAGTCATCCATCCATCCATTTTCCAAACCGCTGGTCCAATGTGGCTACAGCGTAATATCATACAGGTATACATTGCTTTTTAATTGATTATGATTAGGGCTGTCAAACGATTAATCACGATTAATCGCATCCAAAATAAAAGTTTGTGTTTACATAATGTATGTATGTGTACTGTGTATAATTATTTTGTATATAAATGCACACATGTATATATTTACACAGTACACACACATATATTATGTAAACACAAACTTTTATTTTGGATGCGATTAATCGCGATTAATCGTTTGACAGCCCTAATTATGATATTATAATTTTTTTACATGCTGGTTTTCATGACAGAGTTCAAGATAAATCTTTTCATTTCTACTGGAGCTGCCAGTTTGCTACGTTTCAATTAATTATTAAACGGCAAGCACAAACCATGCAAAAGCAGAAACCCTTCCGGCGCACTCAGTGTCCTAATTCACTCACTCGTTTTCATTCACTCCTTCAAGTGGACTATATTAGTGTATATTAGTAATGTAGGGAATAGTGATTGAGGGCGATTTCAGACACAGCTCCTGATTTTTAAGAGAGAGAATTTAGCGAGCGTGAACATGATCTAAACCAGGTTAGATTTGTAGGGTTTTATCAACTACTCTCAAACTCAGACTTTGTTTAACAGGTTATTGACACTGGTGCTTTCAAAATATTTCTCAGTTGTCCAACTTTTGGTTCAGCCAACGTAATGCACATACCTAGTAATGCCCAAGCAACCGTATAACAACATGCTAAAAACCTCTAAGAACACCACATGGGATTGGCCTGCCAACCGCCCACAACTCACGCCGGTGTGTTTTGCTCTCCCATTTCATTCGGGGAATGTAAATCTAGTTAATATATTTGCTGTTTGGTGGTGCATGAATTACACACTTCTCCTTCAACAAGGTCATTACTCATTCTGAGGTAAACGTCGCACCACTTTGTGGTGGAACCTGCCATGGCCTGGGGAAATATGAAGTATATTTTGTGTTTGTAACAGAGCCAAGTTTGTGTCGGTGAAGGAGGATTTCATGCTTCTGGGAGTTGGAGTCATTGCTGTGGCCGCCTTCATTCATCACATCTCAACATGGGAAAAGGTACAGAACAGCTTCTGAATCTACATCATGATTCAGTCGGTCAGCTGTGAAGTGTATTTAAATATCTGTTACTTGCTTCAAACTTGACAATCTTAAAGGATTCTAGTGTGTTTGGTTCATGTGCACCGCAGGTAGTGGAGGAGCTGACAGGGATAACAGGGATTTCAGGCCAGAGTATCATGGACTTTGCGTATGTCACCCTGACACACATCACCAAGACCAAATCCATGTGACACTTGAAGTCAGAAATATAAAGTGTGAGGAACAGATTAGAGTAAGAGTACAGATAAAAGAAGACTGGTGATGGTAACTGTACACAGCATGAACAATATTACTTTCTATTTTGATTTCTCTCTCTCTCTCAAAAAAAAATTCAGTCTGTTGTGAATTAACAATGTAAAGATAAAACACTGAAATAAAATAACTTATTATTTACATTTTATTATGCAATGATTTCTTCCTGCTTAAGTCTCCTAATTTCTTTACTCCATCGATCTGTTCCTCCGTAAGCAGCATAGACACACTCCTGATGTAAAGGCCCAAAAGAAACCTAGATTTGGCCAAATTCCCAGGCAGCATCGGATATCACCCTAAAGGAGACGGAAATCCTATAAAGGGGTGGTATAATGCCCTTTTCACAAGATGTAAAATAAATCTCTGATGTCCCCAGAGTGTGTATGTGAAGTTTTTGCTCAAAATACCCCACAGATATTTTTATATAGCATGTTAAAGTTGTCAGGGTTAGCAAAAACGCACCGTTTTGTGTCTGGCCCTTTAAATGCAAATGAGCTGCAGCTTCCGACACAGTGGGCGGAGCTTCAAGAGTGTGTGTGTTAGCAGCTCCGATTACCTCACGCAGACACACGCTAAAATGTCAGAAGCTGTTCTGCCTTTTATGTTTAAACCGGAGTCAGACAAAGATGGAGAGACTAAGAAGAAGTGACAACATGTAGAAGCAACAGGACATCTCTGAATGGTTAGTTGATGAAATTATGTTGCTGATGTGGAGTTAACTATCTTCAATTGGCATATTCTGTCATGATAATCTATAAATCGCTTGTATAGGAACTGTTGTGAGATGCACACAGAGTGACTACAACAGCTCTTCCTCTTCTCAACATGGGCTGCGTGTTCCCGGGGGCGGGTTTATGTAAATGTTAGGGTTAGTGATGTCACTAACCCGGGAGGAAGCTTGTGTAGTTCCTACCAGCCGTTTGTTGTAGTCCTTAAAAAACGATTTCTTTAAAAGCAAATATCTCCCTTTGCTTTGAACTTTGAGCGTTGTAATTTTGCAGATGTTGTTTATGCTCAAACAGCAACATTACACACTAACTAAAGTTAGAAAAGTGAAATCATAATCAACCACCCCTTTAATGCATTTCTCATACAAACTCAGTGGAAATAAAAATATAGTGGTGGATGAAGCGAAAGAAATGTTGATTATAACTATATTACATTCAGTACTGGAAAGTACTGATAAAAAGTATTGTGACAGATAATCGAAAAAGAGGCACTGCATCCAAAATCGAATGCTTCCCTACTATATAGTATGCGAAAAACAGTACGCCAACAGAGAATGTCCAAATACATAGTATTCAAAAAACAGTAAGTACCCAGCTGACCTTCTACTTCTTATACGTCCATGTTACCAAAACTAAGAAGATCTAAAAATAAAGGCATCATAAAACGTATCCATAGGTTTAATCCAAAGTTGCGTCCCAAATGACACAGTATACACTCGTTCTCATGCACTCAACCTTTTAATGTATACATTTTATTAGGTTATTTTGTCATTCAGCATCAGAGTCTGATTGCTCCACTGCGTAATCAAAGCTGTGACATGAAGTGACCGACATTCCACACTTCCACTGCGTGTTCTATATGGGGAGTATGAGTTAAAATTGAGACTACATCCGCCATGTTGTTACTGTCACGTGACCTACCAGCGTCAGCTGCGTCGCTTCACTGTCATTCACAAATCCTCTCCCGTGGCCTCATGGGATAGTAAAGTGTCCATCGAATGCGCACTTCTGAATCTCTGCGGAAGTAGAAGGTTATCCGGGGACTGTTTTTCAAATACTATGCATTCGCACTACTCTTTTGCCATACTTATAGTAGAGAAGTATTTGAATTTTTTCGAGTATTTAAAGGGGTAGTTCACTTTGAAATTTAGTTTTGATATGTTTTAGCTTACCTCAAGGGCATCCAAGATGTAGGTGTCTTTGTTTCCGCAGTAGTTTCAATTTTGATATTTTTAGGTCAAACCGTTCTTGTCTGTCAGTCATATAATGCAGGTCTATGGTCACCACCTCAAAGAGCATGACCAGAGAAGTCCAAATTAAACATGATTTAATGACTCGTAAATGTAAGTACACATTGATGGCCTAAGACACCAAACGAGCGGTTTGTGTGAGAAAACGAACCGTATTTATATCATTTTTGTCCTTGTCCCAAATGGCACCCTAAAGCCCCGTTCACACCGCCAGCGATTTTGTCGCTACATGTCGCTAGTCTCTGTACTGTGAAGTCGCTTGTGGGCATTCGTAGTGCTGTCGCTCTAATGTTATTGGTAGACTGCACGTCTAGCCATATATCTACACAAAATACCATCAGAAGTGACATATACAACTATATCATTTTAATTTGACTAGGAATTAGGCTCAAAAGAAACCGTATGCTGTTGGGAGAGTGTTTTTATATTACCACAGCAGTGTTCAGTGGATTAAATAATTTACTAGATTAACGATCGACCAATCAACAAATTAAACTCACTCATTCTGTCATAAATTACTAAAACGTCATTCGAATTTGACAATCAATTTTCTTGTCCCTAATAGTCAACATAATGCAGGGAAACTGTAAAATGATCTGCAGCAGTGCTAAACTTGCATCATAAAATTACAACACTCGAACTATAAATTTATATGAATTAAACTCACTGAGACTGTCGACAGTTTCTTTTCCATTCGTCATTTTATTATATCCATGTATGTGGTTACAGTCAAATCATATAAAACAGTGAAATCTCCCACAAACTCTTCTGTCTTGCCTGCACTCCACGTGAGCTCCACTGAAAGTCTTCTTTCCTATTGGTTGTCGCTCGCGAAAATCGCTTCTCATTTGCATAAAGTTGAAATTTCTCAACTTTTGTCGCTTGTCTCTTGTCGCTTGACACGCCCACATTCTATCGCCAACGGTCACTGTCGCTCGTGTCGCCGGATGTCGCCAGCGCTCCATTGAAATGAATGGGATCATGTCGCTTTGTCGCTGCGTGTCGCTGGCGGTGTGAACGGGGCTTGAGCACTCGCGGTCTTCCTCTGAGTCCGCACTTTCTTGACGTAACGCTGCTTTGACTGTTGGGAAGAAGTCTGCTGCGGAGTGCGCATCAGTGCGGGCTCGGTAAAAGTGCGCATTGAGGGCGTAAATCGACCGCAGAGAGCTAAAATGACAAATGGGACAACCTACGGTCTCAAGGACTCAACGGACACGCGGCAGCCATTGTAAGTCCACAAGGCCGAAAGTGCATATGAAGTGTGCCATTTGGGACAGGGCCTTTACCTCTTGTAACCACAGCCACGTCCAAGCGATCTGAGGGCGCGGGCGCTTCGGTTTGCGCAAGCGTCGGAAGTGATCTCTCGCGCGGTTGCGGAAAAAAAAATCAACGTTGTCTGTTGATATATCGAAATCGTCTTCCATTGCGATTTCCTGTATATCTAAATATGCTTAGATCTTCACAGTGAAAGGTAACACTTCCGAAATCTCTGTGTAAACAATGAGTGACATACACGTGCGAGAGATCACTTCCGGCGCTTGCGCAGACCGAAGCGCCGGCGCCCTCAGATCACTTGGACGTGGCTGTGTTTACAAGAGGTAATACGATATAAATACTGTTGGTTTTCTCACACAAACCGCTCGTTTCGTGTCTTAGGCCATCAATGTGTACTTACATTTACGAGTCATTAAATCATGTTTAATCTGGACTTCTCTGGTCATGCTCTTTGAGGTGGTGACCATAGACCTGCATTATATGACTGACAGACAAGAACGGTTTGACCTAAAACTATCAAAATTGAAACTACTGCGGAAACAAAGACACCTACATCTTGGATGCCCTTGAGGTAAGCTAAAACACACCAAAAATTAATTTCAAAGTGAACTACCCCTTTAAGAGCATCCTCTGGGTATTTACTAAAGTGTACTTTTTCTATCTTGAATTTTCAGTGTGAACGCACTACTCACACTATTTATACTACAAAATGGCATTGGATAGTGCATAAGTATGCATGCATAAGTAAGATAAATGATTTCTTTAGTCTGAAATTCATCTTTAAAAGGTCATGTAAACGCACTTACTGTTGGCTCCAGCAGTGATGTGACTGGGGTGAGCGACGGCAGAGGGGAAGAGTGCTTGAAACTTGTCTGAAAACAGTCATTCGTTTGCATTTCTGTTTGGTGTCTCCACACTTCATCTTAAAATATGACCTAGTGAGACAAGAGTGGCAATTATCATGCTTGAGCAGGTATTAGAGTCATCATGTCTCTAAAAAACACTCCTTTCATTTGGCTTTCTTTGGTGCTGGAGAGACACCACTTGACTCTTGTGTAACATTTCAAGCAAATGAGAAAATATAGCAACTCTCTTGCTTGAAATCTGCCCACAACTTTAATTATGTGGACTAAAACTTTGTACATTTTCTAAATAATGGACCTGCATTTAAATCTGTTATATAAGACTGCGACTCTTCTGGGTATAAGCTTTGGACCGCTCTAAAGCAGTTTTATTATTGGAGGATTTAACATAATAATTTAAACGTCTAAGAAAAAAGTTCTTCTAAATGCTTTTCCACAGAGATGTGTGTGTTTTGGTCTGGATCCAGTCCTGGTGGATGTGTTTCAGTCTGGCGGGGGAACAGAGGGGTTTGCTGGGGAAGATGCCACAAATATCCCCATTCTTCATGTCCGGGTCCTCCGACAGACTACAGTTGTAACCAAAGAGAATATGGATTAGAACAAGAACACGAGTCCATATGTTTGATAATATTTGAAACTTTCTACTCGACATGAGCCAGATCAATTAGAGACCAGGCTGTACTTTAAATACTCCATGATATCACATCACTTTTGGACAATAGGGCCTAAGGTGACATTAAAAGCTGTTTATTTTGTTTCATGTATGCATTTCTCAATGGATGCCGCCATTTATCTTGTTATCATGAATGCTTTGTTAAGGTCTACATGTGCATACATCTCAGAACGAAGCCTTCAGTTATCCAAGAAGAAGCTTTATTGTGGACAACGAGCAAGGAAAGTCTCACACATCAAGAGCTTCAGAGCAAGGGCCGGTTGAATAAACATAACGGTAAGTTAAGAGTATATAAGCACTAGTCTGACCAACTGGCTATTAGGGCTAACCAGTCTTACTTTTTGGATTCAAA